GAGTTTCAAATATCTCTATTGGAACTGTAATAAATTCTCCATGATCTGTTTATTTCAGCATGTCCCAGGATTCAACAGGATATGTGTGTCTCCTTATCCAGCCGACAACAAAGGACGATGCTGGCTGGTACACAGTGTCAGCAAAAAACGATGCTGGAGTTGTATCCTGCACATGCAGGCTTGATATCTATGGTGAATATTCTGTCTAGCTGTTTAACTATCAGCTTTATCAAGACATGTTGCCACATTTTTTAGCTTGTCGCTATTAAGAAGTAATGCTAGCTATCTGCTGCGCCTTCAGCACAGTGGCACCAGAGCGTCCCTGCACCCATGAAAAAGACTCAGCGCATGGGCAGCCGCTATGCAGCTCTGACAGGCCAGGGGCTCGACATCAAGTCAGCTTTCCCCACCTCAGAGACCAACCCCATCCTGTTCTCCAGCTCCCCTCCTGAGGTCATGCTGGAGAGTGAGGAGCTGTGACGCTGCAGCACGGTGACCCTCAGAGGCCTCCCAGCACACGCTACGACCTCTCTGAGGTCAAAACAGTAGAGGGCTAAAAGAGTGATCCGAGCATTGTCATGTGATTTGTGTGATGCATTTGAAGTGATACACTCAGAGTAGAATGGCAAAGAATTACTGTGTTAAAGCTATCAGCATTGATAGTGAGTTTGTCACCATTCCTATTTATTCAAGTCATATGAAGAGTGTTTTAAATACAGGAAAAAAAAACAGATTTGCAAAGTCTTAGCTCTTGAGCCATCAGTGGAGTTGAATAGTGTTCTCTGACAGGTTTGAATGACACACGTTTGTTTTCTACATCATATTTAGCTACGATAATGAGGCTGAGTGTTAGTGGTAACATCTGTTCTTAATTGTTAGTCCTGTTCTCGAAGTGGTACAAGCACTGCTTAATTTTATTGCAAAAATATAGATATACCTGTATTGGTAGTAATAGTTTCTTTTAAAGTTTATATATAAAAAAAGTAGTTTTAAGTTATTGTTTATTACTAATCAGAGATAGTTTACAGTATAATAATAGACATTTGAATGTGCCATTTAGATCAGTTTATTTAAGTGGCTCCAGCAAGATAGGATTCTTTCTACATTTACCCAAGTCATTTATTGGTTCACATTTTTTGCACCATTTTTTCATGTGCTTGCATGATAAAGGCTGATGAAGATGCAATATTATATAACATAACAAACACACTATGGCTGCTCACAGTCATAATAATAACATGCTGTTAGTTGACTCGTGGTTAGTGGCTGACACAAGAACTGTTGTGATTTTTTTGCTTTCAGGTGATTTAATTCATCTTTGTACTGACAAAGATTTATCTTGACCGCATCTATAGATGGAGCTGCATCACCAGAGGAATGAGTCACATGAGACTAAAGTCTCTGTTGGCTTCACTTTAAAATGACACCAACAAGTCACACGTATCCTACAGAGGTTATTACTGAACTCTGAATAACATAAATTCAAGTCGTTTTGAAAACATATGAAAGAAAAGCACATAATCAACTGATGTAAAGTTGCACATTGTAAAATAGTTTTGTCCTTCTCAGAATAAAGTTATATTTATTCAAATGAGTGATATTTTTACTCTGCTGCATGCTGCTGCTGCCATATTTTCAGTGCTGCTTTGCACCTGATGAAGTTTAGAGTCGGGTCTGTCATGATAATTATGCTATCGACTTATCGAGGTCGGTAAAAATGATCAAGGTCATGTCCATATATCATTTAATATTTCCCGTTATGTTTACATGCGTGGTAGCTTACTGAAGAATGTCAACAACATTTTTAGGATGCCAGAATAAAGAACAGGGTTTTCTCTACCATTATAAGACTTGGACACAGTGCCTAAGAAAAATAAAATAAATATATGGTTGCACTGGTTCTGTCTCTTATCTACACACTGTGTCAGAGTTTCACCATGGGCAGGGCTCAGGCAGCTCCTCCACACACAAACATTCATTTATGTTTTATTAATTTATTAATTAATTCCAATTCAAATGTCTAAATATTCTTATGAATTAAAAGTCCATTGCTCTCTGAAAGGGTGCACTTGCATTATTATGCTATTATCATTATATTAGTGGCATATACTGGCCATAGAATGATAATAATCTTGTTTATTGCACTTATTTTGGGTAAAATATATCATCCAACAAAAGTAGTTATTGTGACAGTTCTATGTAGTGTGTCTCACTTCATCTCTTTATGAGAATTTAATGCAGAATGTATTAAAAGAGGGTAATGGGTAGTTGCGTCTGACATGAATGTGGGTTAAAATCTAAATTTCTGCTGTCATTACTGAGAGCTTGTTTTGACTACGCTGTAATCAGAGCCCTATTAGCTTAAACTGATGCCAGATTCAAAGCAAATGGGAAAGCTCAGAAGCCAATTAAGCATTGCTAATCAGTCCAATTAGAGGGGAAGAGAGTTCAAATAGGCATAAAATTACATTCACCTTACGTGACCTAATTATACTCAGAGCCTCATCTCACCAGCTGCTAGGCCTACTTGTTAACTGGGTGCTGTATGTGTTGTAAATATCTGTGGGATTTGAATGAGTTTTGTTTTTAAAATCCAATGGTTTGGATTTTTTGTTATTTATTTAATTTATTACACTCATGGCTCACTTGTACTAAATATTACCATGATGTTTCAAATTCTGGTTTACATTTTCTAAGCATACTCATTTTTAATACTGCTGTAATGGCACCATAAGAGCAGCAATGATTTTAGTTTGTTACAAAACCAGCAGTAAAAGTCCACACATCAGGAAGCAAAAGTAGTGGCTTACTTGTAATCTCATTAAAATGAAGCATGAGCTTATTCACACTGCTCCTGTAAATTAATCCTGTGATGATAATGAGATTTATCAAGTCAACACACACATGCAGGGAGAATCCGTTCTTACACTTTCTCCTCCACTGAAACATAAGCTTTGTGCCCTAATCTCCATATCTCCATAAGGAGAGCTGGATTTATAAGGGTACATGTTTCATACCGAGCAGACGGGTCACTCCTCGGTTGTGACATATGGCTTTTGACAGAGAGCATGGCTCAGCCACCGGTGCTCAGACAAGCCAATCGTGAGAGGCTGCGGAAGACACGGAAGGAAGGGGCCACGTCTCAGACGAGGCCCTCAGACAAGACAAGCAGCAGCTGGCAAACTACATCAATCTGTAATCAATGAACCAACTGGTAGATGGGATTATATGCCTAATTGCACAGCTAACCAGTCCATCCCAAAATGACCAGACAGCATCAGCTTGTGTTTATGACCCAATACCAGAGACGGGCATTATTCTCAGCCTCTGACAGTGATTAATCATTCATAACCTGCCTCTACACCCAAGCTTTGAGTTTGACAGTCCACAGGAGCTGACAAAGGATGACACCAGAATATAAAGCAACATTCAGATCCTTTGCTAAGTAAAAGTACCATTACTGTAGTGTAAGTGTACTCAACTACAAGTTTATGTCTTGCTCTTACATTGTATTAAGTTACAAGTGGATAAGTATTACTCAAAATGTGTGTAAGTATCAAAAGTACTCATTATGATGACTCTTCACAGTGCAAAACTGCCACATATTATCTTAATTTTGATTGTGTGTCAACAGTCAACAGTGTGTTTGAGTGTGTGTTTGTAAAGGAGGACCCTGCTCACATCCATCCTCCTGAATTACACAATTCAATGTCAGCAGATGGGGAGGACAGACAGACAAATTATTCTGTCTGTCTCATTTTTCTCGGATCACCACACAGATCAATTATTTATTTCACATGTGGTCCCGGCTACATAAGGAACATTAATGCATCCCACATACTGTGATTCATTAGGACCAGACACGGCACTGATAAACAACCTGTCACACTAATGTACTTCTGATATATAAAGGAGAATTTCATATTTCACCTGCTCGCAAACTGCTCCCCAAAAACTGAGATGGCGCAGTAATCTGTGAACCATCTTGGCCCATATTGTTTGAGAGCCATAATCCCCTGATGTGCTACTCAAATCCCTGAGGTTACAGGCCACACTTCCACTTCTGTTGCCTCGGGCTAATCTCAGATTATGGTTATTATCACATGGAGACCAGTTACATGAGAAGTGAAAGGACACTTCTTGAAGGGCTTATGTAACTTAACATAACCTAATAGATTTAAAGCCCAGGTGATCCCGAAGATTTCATATCTAACTCAGAAATAAATTAAATATTAAATTGTGATGCCTTCAGATTTATCTCTGAAACATGGCATCTTAATATAAGTATAACCAAGTCACAAATGTATTAAAACTTTGATACAAAAAGTTACATTTTAGAAGCAAAAAAAGTATTAACTAGTAAAATACTGATTAAGAAATAGGACACTATTTATTATCATACAATGTGGTAACATACTCCTTGTTTTCATGAGTAAAATTTGAGTATAGTGAATTTAAAATAAAATAAAATAAAATTCAGAAACATTTGTGTAGTTTTTTTAATTTACTAATACCTGACAACATATGTCAATATTCTGTTTGATCAAATCTTAATTAAGAATGTAATCCTTAAATGTTAATTGCTGGGTTTTTGGTGATTTGGGACATATCCAGAAACTTAGCCCTTTAAAAGTTTGTTTGCACCATCAGCTGTGGTGAGTTGTGCTACCAGATGGTGGACTTTTGGTGTTTGTGACACATGGCTCTGAGTGAAGCCACGGCCAGATCGCCCAGCCCAAGATAATTGGAATTTCATTAAGGTTTTGTTTGTGTGTGAGTGTGTGTGTGTGTGCTGAGTGTGCATATATATACGCCTGTGTGTGTGTGTGTGTGTGTGTGTGTGTGTGTTGAGAGTGGGTGTTTATGAGTCATGGGTGTGTTTCTCTATATGCAATATTGAGGATGGGGGGGGGCATGGACTCCACCTGCTGCCACCTGTTCATCTGCTCCATCTTATAAAAGCTGCACCCTCACTGTCTCCAGGATCACAGACACCTTGGACTCTTCTCTGTCCACTATCTGGAGTTACAAATATCAGACACAAAGGACACACAGCCAGGCTGTGACACCGAGACCTTTGAGAAACCCTGAAGCTGAAACTGGAAACCTGATCAATCTGTTGACTCGGAGCTGAGTCTTTCTGACCTGAGGACATACAGCGGTTTGATTCTTCCACCAACAATCATGAAGTCTCGGCGACCCAGCTGCACTGACTCGGGATCCGAGTCCTCAGAACCAGACTCCAAGAGCCCGGAGAAATATGAGACTGCCACGAGGCGACGAATGGCTGCAAATGCCAGAGAGAGGAAGAGGATGCAGGGCTTGAACACAGCCTTTGATCGATTACGTAAAGTGGTCCCCCAGTGGGGCCAGGACAAGAAACTGTCCAAGTATGAAACCCTGCAGATGGCCCTCAGCTACATCATGGCCCTCAACCGGATCCTGACAGACACCAGGAGACACACTGCTCCTCACAGGCAGTGGCTGGACCTGCAATTTGACTGCGTGCAGCCTGAGAACTACCCCTGCCTTATGAGGTACGACTCTCCCACTGAACAGGACTACATCCACTCGTCCTTCTCCTATCAGTTCGATGGCCATCAGGTCCATGCCTAAACTGCTACCATTTGGTAGATAATCAGTCATGTTGTTGGATATGAGTGACAATGTGAATATTCCTCCTTCAATCCAGGAGACAGTAAATACATTTGTATTGCATTATTTTCTTTTATATTTATTTAGTTTGTGTATGACAATCAGAAAGGCTTCTATTTCAGTGTGAAGTCTTTTTTATTTTTGCTAGTCACCCAGCATTGTTGAGCATCTTTTTGTTCAAAGTATAGCAATGACAGAAATGTAGAGTCGTTATAATAACCACTAGATTGTACTGACGATACAGGTGTATTTTGTTATCATGTACTGACGATACAGATGTATTTTGTTATCAGTTATGTTGACCCGGCCCTAAAATGTTGTGCAATGTTCAATGGATTCTGAGAAAATCATTGTTGTCTTAGGTAAAATCGATATGAAATATTTTGTCAAAGTGTTGAGTTGAAAAATAGATGTTATTTTTCACATGCAGACCTCTATTTTGTTGAACTATACTTTTTTAATAGAAAATAAAACCTATTTTGTATGAAAAAACCTTTCTCCTGTTCTTTATTTTTCATCTTGAGCTGATTATAAGAGTGAAATGCGGGATTTTAAAAATATTGCAACAAAAAAGGTTGGTTCCTTACTAACAATTTTACTTTTGCATCCTCAAAAACATTTATATCGTCAAAATATAACCCTAAAATTCTAATAATCCATTCACACATTTTACTGCATATATGCATCATTTTCTCATTTCTATAAAAACTTGCTGCTATTATTAGAAAGCTCTGGTATTTTAGCCCTCATAATCTCACTTTGTTTCCTTTGTGTGGTGCCAAAACAAGGGTTGTCGAGGAGAACAACTAATTTACGGCACATCCTTTGTGTTGTGTGTGTCATGTTCTCAGCAGGAGTAATGGCAGGTCACGTCTGCTGCTCGGCCTCGCTCCGCACCCTGGGGAATAAACCATCCTTTTGTCCTGGGCTCCTGGGCTCTGAGATAAGACACTTTTACGTCAGTGGGGAACCAAAAAATAAACATTTAAAATAGACTCACGTTGGGGAGGGTTGTACAATTATTTAACCATTTTATTGGTAAATCCTCTCTTTGGAGTTTTAAAGTATTAAACTGATTTGATTCTCCAGAACAGGCCAGTGTAAGTCTTCACAAACCAGGATGCTAAATGATCTGCAACTGGCTGTTGTTGAAGCCACAGCGCTACAGATTTAAATGGCAGTCGTCAGCCACTAACAAGGGATTGTTACAGTTTTGAAAAAGTTTGAATGGTGGCACAAGCCACAGCAAATTAAGGAAGCCTGTGTGCCAGATCCTGCCACGGCTTCAGAGGGGGAGCAGAAATGAAACTCTATTGTGTGGTAATGGCTGCGTGTAATCGCTCTGTTCACAGCCACTGAAGCATGAACGGCCATAGCTGGACCCAAACTCTATCTGTATTAAGTATAAGACATCTACAGCAGTGCATTAACTGTACTGTCCAACTGCTAATATGCATCATATTAACCTAGACAGCCCAGAACACTTATATACACATGTAATAGGTGTTGCAGCAGGCTTGTTGGGTTGGTAGAGAAGACCAATAGAGGAGGTGCCGAACTCTGTTACAGATGGTCATAATGATTCAAATGCCATGTTGAATGTTTGCATACTTAATAAACGCTTTCTGACAGTTGGCGTGTTAAAAATTGAATAGATGGCAGAGTCAAAAGTGCGTAATGGTAACGAGGCGGAGACCATCAGTGACACTGCAATTATGGTCCTCATTAATTCAGTCACAAGCCGCAAACAGTTGGCGACAGAATTTATCATTGACATGCAATTAATTGATTTCCTCAACAGAGGCACGTTATTGGATGAGATGTTAATCAATAGTGACAACAATGTGCTCAGCATGGAAGTAACTGAGAGGGCAAAACAGATTAAACTGTCTTTTAGCTGCTGAATTATTCAGCCTTCATACACGGCAGGATGTTCTCTATTATAAGACATTTACTGCAAATTAACTATTATAGAGAGAACTTCATAATTGATTTCATAATTTCAGCTTCTCACTGCCAATTTGATGTTTTTATTACATTTTGTTTTTTTAGGTGATTTCATTTCACTCTAACAAATGCATTGCCTACTGCAGTGATACTCAACATATGACCTGCGGGCCAGTAAGGTGTCAAACTGATTTACAATGGAATTTTGTTTAACTTTGAATGCAAATAAGGTGTCAGGCTGCATAAAAAAGCAAGTCCAAGAAGAGGATCCCCCAGACCCCGGCTAAACCCCACATCTCAAAAACAAAAGTTACCCCTGTGTACACCTGACCTGATGGACCTGCTGCGACTGGATTTACCCCTTGACAAAGATGAGTGAGGACAGCAACATCGAAAGGTTGAAAACAGACATCATTTATTATACCAGAGGGGCCAGGTCATTGTTTTGCAAGTCACAAATAAGCCTCAAGTCTTTGCACTCAGGTCCTAAATCAAGACAAGAAAGTCCAAAGTTGAGTCCCAATTCCTAAATTTTGAGTCCTAATTAATTCATAACTTCACAAAATAATGAATGCTTCTTAAAGTATGTATTTATTTGTTAAAACAAGTTTGTTGGAAGTTTGAGGTCTCAGTCTGTGATTTTGCATACTGCAGTTCCTTTTTTGTTGCCAAAGCTTTCGTACCAATTTTTCCGACTGGAGCTCAGTAAGGTAACGTTAGTTCTTCATGGTTTTCTCCTGCATCTTTATTGGACGTTGTCTGATTTGTTCAAACAAAGTGGATCATCTGGGAAATTAAGTGTGGACTTGATGGAAATTGAGTTACCATTAATTGATTCAGGAAATTAATTGATTCATCAAACACTTTTTAAATAACATGCTTTTTATTTTTTGGCCTTGGGGGAAGATTTAAAGTATTTTCAAGTCAAAAGGCTCAAGTCTAAATGAAGCCATGAGTCACTGGTGTTTAAGTCCAAGTTGAGTTGCAGGTCTTTTCTGATTTCGTCAAATCTGATTTGAGTCCAAGTCATGTGACCTGGGTCCACACCTTTGATATAGAGTGCTGCAGGGATGTTGTTTTTCTGTGGGCTGACGCTGTAATCAGTGTCGCCCTGGTTCCTTCGTCAAAAAGCCAATGTGACTTTTCCATTGGATTCTAGTTACAGCAGAATGTACGCTCTGTGGCAAACAAAAGTTTATGATATTTACATATTTTGTTCAGCAAAATAATCTTCACAGATGAACACCACTTTTATGAATTTTGAATCGTAAGTGCAATCATCAGAAGTAAAAAGCTAACGTTATGCTATAGGTGAACTACACCACAGTTGCATGACTTTACATCACTACCACGATGAGTCTGTAAAGCCATGTTTGCCGTGACGACATTATGTAGTTTCATTTAGCCACTTGTTAGGAACCATCTTATTTAAGACACGTAGAAGTTTCACAAGCGGGGTATTTACTGTTGTACTGTATGTTGTAGAACAAAACTTGACAATTTCTTAAGCTTGTGTTAACCCAGACCTTATTTAAGATATCTAACCAAAAACCCATTAAAAATCAGACTTCAAGGCGAGGGAACCAGGAGTGCTAAAATGCTAACACATTTCAGTGTTTTAGGACTCTTTCCATGTACACACTATATACTAATACATATTATTCATGTTTGCATATTAACTGGCCCCAGAATTATTATTTCTCCCTTAACAAATTGAAGTTAAATATGATGTATTGGTGTGAACCTTGCTGAGGTGTCCACAAAAAACAGGTCACAAGTACGTCAGTGTTGTCTTTGTACAATACCTACCATTTTATCACCTCAGTGTATTTTAACTGGGTCTCAATCTCAAGACTACAAAAGCTCCAGCAGAGGATCGGCAACTCCTCCCTCAACAAAGCTTATGTCATCCCCTCTTTAAAACCATCCCTCCCGCAGGTGTTCAAAAGCTGGCTGCACTGCTCTGCTTCACTCTCCTCTCTAATCTAAACACTGGCAGTCCACACACAGACACATAGGTGTCCAACAGCATGAAGTGCCTGAACAACCGGGCTGACAGCCACCTGACCGGGCAGGTAGAGTTGGACAGCGTGGGCAACGGAGCCTGGGTGAACCATGGCTACTGTGGCTCCCCTCCACCCCTGCCCCGAGCTGTCAGCACCATCTACAACCCACAGCCCCTCTTCCAGGGCTCCATGGACAGCATATACAAACTGGACAGCCCCGGGCCATTTCCAGAGGAGCCACCATCCACTGACCAAAGCCTGGTGAAAAAACAACGAGGCTGCTGCTCTTTTATCAAAGGTAGGAACTCATTCAGCTGAGTTTACAACTGTGTTTCTGCCATTAATGACATTTGTACAACAGGTTTAATGAGTATGGATGATACCTGCACAAGATCTTGACAAAACTATTTATCTCACTGAAACCTTTCTTTGGTTCTGGTCCTGTCTGGGCCACTAAAAAATATCAGTTGATTCAACTGATATTTTTTTAACCTAGAGTTTCTGTGGATCATCTTGTTGACGAATCAGTATAGGTCTTTAATAGAACCCAATTAACTTATTTCAACCCAGTATTAAAGTCGACACACCCTCTGCATGAAAGGTATTTAAACAGTCTCAACTCTGTCAATAATTCTGCATCATTATGACATAAAATACCGTGATTCGTTTGTAGGTTTCTGGGGCACAACACTGACTGAAAACACCTCAAACAACAGGGAGCTGTTTGTACGAACCACGCTACGGGAGTTAATTGTTTATCTGGTGTTCCTGTTGGATATATGCCTCCGTAAGTACTCTACTCTCCCAAGGATGTCTATTCCTGGCACTTGTAGTTGTTGAAAATCATGTTTCGTACCCTGGTCAAATAGTATTTGCAAGTAATTCTTGGCCCTTCTCTTGCATGCAGCATAACACAGTAAAGTGTTTGTTTAGCAATTTTTATATGCTTTTACGCATCTAATGACCTAAATGAGACAGAGGGGACAGTGTATTTTTAACGAAGTGAATTGCAGATTTTGTTTGGTGTTCCTGTATCTATTTATCCTATGTACACTGTGTATATTTCAGTCATCTGATCACTTGTTGCAGTGCTCAGTGTTTGACAGGGTGTTACAGTTTAGAACACTGGGCTGTTGATTCATCATTGAAAGCTCCCTCCTTGCATTAATACTTACAACAAATGCCCCCCCCCCCCCCCATCCCTCTGCCTAAGCCATTGTCCAGCTGAGCATTAGGAGTGAAAGGGACATGGCCACTGCTCCCTTGCTTTTTAGCGATAAGAGCATTTGGCGTCGTCCATTGTTGCTTTGTCTGGGTTAGATTTACATTGTTTGATGAGGCTATTTGAGTCAAGCCAGCGTGCTCTCTCTTCAAACAAATGATGGCCTCTAATCTGGATCCATTTGACGACAGCGACATAAACACAGCTTGTTGTTTAAGAGTCTTCAATGAGGCTGTGCGTGTCAGTTTCTGGGTTGTCTTATCTTGGACTGCTGAAAGGAGAAACATTTAGGGCTGAGCCTGAGCAAAGCCTGATAGGAATAGACGATTGGGCGTTAACAATGTGATTGCGTTGTCTTTCAGTGACGTATGGTATGACCAGCTCGAGCACCTACTACTACACTAAAGCCATGACGGACCTGTTTGTGAATACAGCCGGTGAGAGTGGGGTTAGGTTTCAGTCCATTAGCACCATGGCCGACTTCTGGACTGTGAGTTTTCCTCAGTAGTCATTTCCTCCATGTTTGCCACAATGAGAAATCACTTAGAAATAAGAATAGGAAATGTCTTCTGAATTCACACCACATCCAATCTCTCTTTATTTGAACAGTATGCTCAGGGCCCATTGCTGGATGGACTCTACTGGACTAAGTGGTACAATAACCAGTCACTGGACAGCGGAAACCAGTCCTTCATCTACTACGAGAACATGCTGCTGGGAGTCCCCAGAATGAGGCAGATCAAGATCGTGAACAACTCCTGCAAGGTCCACAACGACTTTCAAGAAGAGATCATAGGGTGTTATGATGTTTACAATGACAAGAAGGAGGATGACCTCAGCTTCGGTCTCATCAACGGCACTGCGTAAGCCACGCAGTGTTTTTTTCCTTCCAGGGTTATTTTGGGTGTGCAGTTACAGAAATATCACAAAACTTCTTCTACCTCTGCAGCTGGACCTACCACACAGAGAAGGAAGTCAAAGGTTCCTCTCACTGGGGCTTGCTGACCACATACAGTGGAGCGGGATACTACCAAGACCTGAGTCTCACCAAAGAGGAGAGTGCCAACACACTGAAGGAACTGGTGGACAACCTGTGGCTCGACCGAGGAACCAGAGCAGTCTTCGTTGACTTCTCCACTTACAATGCAAACATCAACATGTTCTGTGTCATCAGGTAAAGAGCACTATTGACAATGCCAACTTTACCCATTGGTTGATACCCATTCAGTGGTTAACCAAAGTTTTACTGCTATTTCAGGTTGCTGGTTGAATTCCCAGCAACTGGTGGGGCGATCCCTTCCTACCAGATAAGAACAGTCAAACTGATCCGCTACATCACCTACTGGGATTTCTTCATCCTCGGCTGTGAGATGGTCTTCTGTTTATTCATCATCTATTATGTGGTGGAGGAGATTCTTGAGCTACGAATACACAAGCTCTCCTATTTCAAAAGCATCTGGAACATACTGGATATTGTTGTCATAATGGTAAGCAAATGTCAGTCTTATTTGACTCAAACAAGTCATTTTCTCTCTGATTGTGCTTTGAATCCAAGAAGTAAAATTATTCTCCTTCCCAGCTCGCTATCGTTGCCATTGTATTCAATATTTTCCGAACCATCAAAGTGGACAACTTGCTCGGCAAACTGCTGGAACACCCTGGTATCTATGCTGATTTTGAATTTCTGGCCTTCTGGCAAACACAGTACAACAACATGAATGCAGTGAACTTGTTCTTTGCATGGATCAAGGTAAAGTATTGACATCTTTTACTCTGACACATTACTTCTGAAAATTGCCGGTCTCTACTGTCATCCTGAAAATTGTTTTCTTCTCGTCCTTTAGATTTTCAAGTACATTAGTTTCAACAAGACCATGACTCAACTGTCCTCAACACTGGGTCGATGTGCTAAAGATATCTTGGGTTTCGCCATCATGTTCTTCATCGTATTCTTTGCCTATGCCCAACTTGGATACTTGCTCTTTGGGACAGAGGTTGAATCTTTCAGCACCTTCATCAAGTGCATGTAAGAAGTGTTCAAAAGAGCGTCTCAGCAGGGAATATTTAAATACCACGCCTGAACATTAATGAATTAATCATTTTATTTTTTCTTTCTCCAGCTTCACACAATTCAGGATTATTCTTGGGGACTTTGATTATGATGCCATTGACCGTGCTAATAGAGTTCTTGGGCCAATCTACTTTCTCACCTATGTGTTCTTTGTTTTCTTTGTTCTACTGGTGAGTCACTCTGCTACACAAAATGTTTGATTTGAGAAGGGTAAAGATGAGCCTTCTCTCTATGTATCTGTCCCCCAGAACATGTTTCTGGCCATCATAAATGACACATATTCTGAGGTTAAGGAGGAGCTCTCATCCCAACAAGATGAGCTACAGATTACTGACATCATCAAACAGGTAAATGCAATCAGATTCATGGAAATATAAATACATCTATGGAAAAAGATTTACAAGAGTTACGAACAAATGATTTTCTCTTGTAATGCAGAGCTATATGAAGACATTTACGAAGTTGAAACTCAAAAAGGAGAAAATATCAGATGTTCAGAAAGCACTACGATCTGGATCTGGAGAAATTGAATTCAAGGACTTCAGAGAAACTCTGAAAGAGTGAGTGACAAAAAAAAAAATCAAGTGAGGAGCATATGCTAACTTAAGTATCAAATTTAACCCTCACCGCTCTGATGATCTTATAGGATGGGACATGCTGATCATGAAATTTCTGCGGCCTTCTCACGGTTTGACCGTGATGGGAACCAAATTCTAGACGAAGGCGAACAAGAGAGGATGAAGATTGAGCTGGAGGAAAAGAGGGTATGTGTGATATGCTACACAGTTTGACTTATTTATTTTACCTGACAAGTAATAAAAGACATTTGTAAGAACAAATACAAAAGGCATTTTATGTTCATGGTTTTCCCATTTTTGTCAGGATGCTCTTTGCGCTGAACTTAACAATCTTGGAATGAATTATGAGAAAGAATTACTAGAGAAGCCTCCTGTAACATCAAATGAGCAGAGGAACCACTCCAGTCACACCTTAATGGATCGGGAACAGTTTCTGAGGTGGGTTAGTTTTCTCTTTTAACCTGTGAAATGTCTTTAATTTTCTTGTCTTCAAACAAGAGAAATGCATTTCATTACAATGGACATTAAGTAAAAAAAAAACTGAATTACCTTTCTCTCACAATGAAAGACTGGCCAGACAGGTTCTCCACCTTGAAAGCTCTGTGGCAGGCATCACATCCAGGATTGATTTGATTATGGAGAAACTGGGATTACAAGAAAAAGCTAAAGGGAACGAAATGGCAAGGAAACTGACTATGACCAGTGATGACGTGAGTATGGAAATAGGTTACTAAGATATTCATAAACCTTGTTGTATTCAATGAATGCTTTATTTTTCAATGGAAGACTATACCATGAGGAAACTTTGCTTTACGAACATTTAAGATACACAATGCAGGGTTTCCCTAAATGCAATATATATACTCATTCAGAAGTAAATCCTCTAAATCATCACTTGTGACCCACTAGAAGTGTGCAGCGGTGTTTCCATCTGCAGTGCCCGCTGCCTGTATTGTCTTATTTTCTCCTTATTTTCTGTGTTCGAGATGTTTATGGGTGTGTAAACCGACAGTGCTCAGGTAAGTTGGGGCTTAAGAAAGTATATTAAAACTATGTAACAACTGTGCTACTGATAATGTCACAGGGGCAGTAATATGAGGGAAATGTCTAATATTTTCTTACTTTAGAAAATGAGACTTGACTCTTAGTTTTATTCTAATGAATACAAAATGTTTAATTTTTGCCTTTCTTTCCCCTATCCAGAGTGATGACACTGCCTCAGATGGGGGCATCCTGGTTTGCATGGACAGAGGGACGAAGGCTGAGACGTCATCAAGGAGACCAGCAGTTCGCACCAACTCCACATATGACTGTCATATGTGATTAACCTCTGAGAAACAGAGTCATGGGTTATCTGGAAGTCAGCTGACACGAGGATAAACGAGTCGCATGTCAACAATGTTCTGTGCATCACAAGTTTCCAAAGTCTGTTCAATAAACAATTCTTCAGGTAGAAAACCACAAGTAGGCGCTCAGATCAAACTACAGACGGTATGACAGCAATATCATGCACTTTGCTTTAACTACTCATTTATTACAGCTACTCATTTCATGGAAATATGTAAATACTGTATAAATAAATTCTGAAAATTGATGCTTACTAGGCAACTGCACTAGAGCTTTAATAAAACAAACTGGTTCAAGTTTAAGCTCAGATATGTAGAAGACTACAGTGTATGTTGTAGATGAGCACTGAATGTAAATCTACATATTAGTAGTGTTGTGTAATATACATTTATTTCAACAGTTAGGTTAGGAAAATAAAGTTACGCAACATAATCCGATGTAACATCTGAATGAATGCTTACTTTGTTTTAGTAATGTGATGTCTATGAATGTTCAAGTTCTATTACAGTTGTTTAAAAATCATCAGCACCCTGACTTGTTTGCAGTTTAGTGTGTCTATAAAATAATTCCCTAATTATGTTTATGGAATCCATAGTACAATAATTATTGATCACCTCAAAATATATTTAAATTAAATACAGAATAATTGGATCTGTGACCTATTATCCCAGTGGACAAGGTGTTTTTTTTTGTTGTTGTTGTTTGTTTTAAAAAAAAAACAAACAAAAAAACATTTGGTGATCTTAATTCAGGTTTCATACATCCCACCATAACTGCAAAACAAAAAAGTTTTTGAGCAAATGTATATAAAATACATGCTGCCTAGTGTATTTAACTTTCAGATGGTACAAATGTCAGAATCTCAGTTTAATAACTGTTATATATGTTATATATTGTGTCTGGTAGAGTTACCGAAAAGACATAATTTTAAAATCAGTTTATGCTTAGCTGTCAGAATCTCTGTGTAAAGCACAATTTGTTAGTGTCTAATAAATGTACTGAACAACCCGGTTCAAATGTTTCTTTATTTGAAGTCACTTCTTGAGTTTTCCCATTTAAATGGAAAATTGATTTCATCCTTTATTATTAAACATCACCTCTATTGTTCAACTCATTTGTATTATTGTCATAAAAGCAAAATTGCCATTACATTCAATTTTTTTAAGCAACAAATGTAATACATGTAATAAGCGTGCAGTTCAAGCTGAAATATCACCCGCTTTCTGCTACGTTCTGACAATGGCACGCAAACTTAAAAATGGGAAAATCTACAATGGAAAAGAATTTAGATTTGACATGGAGCCTCCGTTAATAACACAAACTTTGAATTTACTGACACATCAATTAAGGCTTATTCATAAATTATATTGCTGAAATTTAATGATGGCATTTCTACCTACAGTATGTACATTATTTCTAAGTTTCATGAAGGTTTGTGATCAAGGTTTATATTTACACTCCCAGCCAACATGAACCTGTTTTGTTACACAAATATGCCCCAGGTCTAATAAACAAACAAAAACATCATCAAGTTTGTCAGCTAGTACAACAGGAAAAGGAGAGTGAAATTACAAGGAGTGTAATTGACTGTACAGAATGGCACATAGGCAAACAAAATCCAAATGGCAGGACGTCTTTGAGAAATCCTCTTGTCACAATTTGCCAGTGATTTTTAAAAATACGTCACCTGTTACATAAGGAAATATCCTGCAGTTACTGAGAAAATTCAGAATACATTGAGGGGCACAAAGGTGCCCGCTGCCCTGATAAATCAATGTCATTTGTTTAGGAAACTTTTCAATTTCACAAAATAAAACCATCTCAGTTTTTAGTAACTTAAGTCTTATTCATTGGACAATTTGTCTTTACATACGTGACTAAAGAGCAGCATTTTGAATGCCGCAAAACGTAATGCAATATCATTAGGGCCTGGTTTTGGTGCTAAATAAACTCTGTTCTTCATAAAAAGTCTTATAGTCATTAGAAAGACTGACTATAAACTAACTGAGGTTATCGAGAGAAAGGAAAAAAGTAGTTAAGATTCAGAATCTTTCCAGGAAACCAATATTCTCTTTATATCGTGAGCATGTGCTATAGCCTTTACTTTGAGACACAGGATTATAAATTAATCCAATCTAGGCTACATTAAGGTATAAACTAAAATCCATCAAAAGTCTGCAAAGAACATGCTGATCACTCTGATACAAAACATGAAAAAACAAATCTTTTTTTTTGCTTTTAGATTTGAGTAGGTGAAATTTTTCTTTGTACACAAAATTACTCAAGAGATACCACATCCCATTTAAATCTCCTTTACAGCCACAGTTGTTTATACAAATAGTTTCTTCACATATACTGGAAAGGTAAACTACCGATCCAGGGCCTCTATTCACAAAGCATTTTTCATTAATATATCAAAATAGGACTGAATTTTGAGCTATGAGCTGAAGCGAAGCCCAGACCAACTTCCAGCAGGTTGGTTCATTCTTGTGGCTCAGTGCAGTTTGTAACACAAATTCATGGTGGGCAATCTGTACAGCTGTCAGCACTGATGACATCATCATCATTTTAAAAACTGACCTATATCACAAGAATGAACTTAATTGATGCATGAAGACTTGAGCGGAGTTTTGTATTCTGTTGTGTAAAATAACAGAAAAATGCCCCAAATATGAAAAGTAAATAAACATGTTGACAAGTCTGTAACAAACACTGAAATACTAAAAAAGATATATTGGCAAACTGAGAGTGGATATTGCTATAGTTTGATAATTCAATATTAATGTTATAAAGCTTGAGGTTTCCAAGTATCTTAATCCTTGTAATGCTCCAGTGAGCAGCTGGAGTAATGTGATGGCTTATATTAAGTGTGCTTTTAGCTCCACTGAAATATCGTGGCTGTTCAGTTTCTCCGACACATTTTTGCTCAAACTTTGAATATGAGAGGGTAACAATTAGTCTTGGAGGACTATATTGACTTTTTGATAGTTCGGCCCATTTCTCAACTTACTCAGTGTGAGATAAGAGGCATCAAACGGTCTGTGTGTCTGTTACAAAAGCTGTCCAGTAAGCATGCAAACACTAAATCCTCTTTGTCATACACTGAGTAATGTTTTCATTGGGCCAAACAATCAAAAGGTTGGTGTTTCCTTTAACATCTACTCAGACAAAGACAGCTGGTTTGGCTTTACTTCAAAAGCCCAAGAGCACTTCTCCATAACAAAACTATGAATTTACATCAAATAAACTTTTAAAAAGTTCTAAGTGAAATGGACATTGTCATTTAAAACAGAATTGTTAAACTGGTTGTTTAGGAGCAACTATCAGCTACAAAGGCTTTGTGAATATGGCCCCTGTCCCTATTTTACCACAGCGGCTGTTCAGATGTAAGAGTGCTGTGTGGTCTAAAAGGGTTGAAAGAAATCCTCTTGGTATTACACTTAGGTTAGGGCCAGCTCACTGTGTTTGGTAGCCAGCCATGCTGAAGTTGGCCAGGTTGGACATGACTTGACCGGGCTGGGCTGCGGCGGCGGCGGCCTGGGCTGACTGAGATCCAAAGCCTCCCACCCAGGCTGGTGACTGGGACTGCCTGCAAAGATGCCACAAATAACCAGTTAGTATGACTGTGGTCACTGCATACAGAGATTTCCTGTTTATTATAGGGAAAATGTTTGAAAGTTTTTAAGTAGAGAGTGATCCAATCACCATCCATCCATTTAATGATGGTGGAGATAAGTCTTCTGGCCCATAACAGTATAGTAATACAATAAATTCATGAATGAACTGAATACATACTACTGAGTGAAACTTACTCTACTCCAAATCCTTGCTGGTTCCACGTCTGGCCGTACATGCTGTAGGAGGGAACTTGCCACCCATTGGTCACATATTGCCCATACTGCTGCTGCTGTTGCTGCTGCGGCTGCTGCTGCTGCGGATTCCCATAGACTTGGTTCCACTGACCCCACTGACTGTACTCAACCTGCGTAACACCAACGAAAAAGTGAATAGATGTCTTTAATGGCCCATTAGATATAACCTCTATGTTCAATCAGGAGTAAATAATATTCAAATACTGCAAGAAAAAGGCCGCATTAAAAAACGAGTGACGTTTATTCATTTGTACCCTTTTTTGTCTATTGGTTTTGTTTTTTTCCACTCTGCTTGTGATTTGTAATATAAATCAGTAAACAGTTTCTATTTACATTCCACAGTTTTGGCTAAAAACCCTTCCTAAAATTTCATTAGTCCAAGATCTGAATCACCATCAAAATCTTTAGTTTCCATGGCCATATGCATATATTTTAGTCAGTTTCATTATCTGTTATATTCTCCCTACCTGCTGTGTATTTTTTGCCATGTCAGGAGATTCTTTGCCCCAGAAGCACTTCACTATGTGTCCTTCGATGGCTGTGCCATTTACTGAAACGATGGCATGGGCAGCACTATCATGGGAGGAAAACCTTCGAAGGAAAACAGCAGTTTAGTGGTCACATCTATTAAAGAGAATCTCTATCAGGCAATGATATGAATGAATCAGAAAATGCATAGTATTAAAACACTGACCAAACTGATCTGAGGTGAAGACAAACATAACAGAAAAGACCAGTGACGCTGAGTCAAATGCAGACTGGCCTGTTATGGAGTCATACAGTAAGCTTATGTTGACATCTAGTGGCCAAATGCTGCAATGGACTGAGGCAGTACCTGATGAAAGAGTATCCTTTCTCTGGGAAAACTCTGACTTCCATTATTTGACCAAACGGCGAGAAGGTCTGTCGCATTAGGTGCTCTGAAAGAATCAAACAGAAACAATGTTAATTTCAGAAAAAGTTTATAGTAAATAACAAGATTACAACTGAAGTGTGACTAAGGGCTGTAATAATGCATCTTTGAAGAATATGACACTTGCCTGATAGTCCTGACTGGATCCCTCCACAGTACACGGTGCAGTTCTGTGGACTGGACTGAGTCATTACGTCATCGAACCTCAGCTGCTTTGAACCATCTGAAATAAAAACAAACATTTGTGAGGGGAGGTGTAATGTGTCCCACCCTGGAAGATGCAACAAAGCTAACAAGAGACTGAGAAGGAAGTCTGCACACTCCCACACAATCCTGATGGTGTCGCCAGACTGAAATACACCTTGTGAAATTTACTCCCCTGATAAGTGAACTCCCCTGCGTGGGTGTGCAGTGGGTGTGAGGGGTCTTTAAAACTTACTGTCCTGGACACTCTTTGGAGCAGGTGGTTTGCGTGTTGCCCAGTTGGTCCTGATTTGGCGTCCTCCAAGCCACTGTCCCCCCATGTTAATGATGGCATTCTCTGCATCCTATAAATCCAAATCAGTGAGTTACCTCTCTGGATTTGATAAATCTGTCAAGTTGTATTGGTGACTATGATCAGTTCTCAAAATGTTTGTTACTGTTTTTAATCTAAACAATACTGAGAATGGTGATGGTAAAGCAGAAACTACGTAATGTTAGATGATTGAAGTTGTTGTGACTATGGTTTCAACTATGATTAATTATATCTTAATTATTGTAAATGCATTAAAGTAGGATAATAAACAGAAAATAGAAATAACCTTCAGTCTGTGTTCTTGCACTGGAGCCTTACCAGTTTGTTGTAGAAGGACACAAATCCATACCCCTTTGATTTGCCTGTCGTCATGTCCTTCACAACACGGGCGTCCCTGGAGGGAGATGTGAAAACAACTTTAGAGCACTTTCCAGTTTAAATGTTTCAAACTAAAAGGAACCACGCAAAACACACTGAACTGTGAATCCTCTACTCTGTCCTACATTAATGTACATTAGCTATCATGACCTTGTGCTGAGCACTGAATCGTAATATAACTTCAAAGCAACACTTGAGACAAAAAAAAAAAAAAAAAAAACAAGTACAAAAACATGCAGCCTACAGTACTGTTTTAAATACTATCAGATGTATTAATGGATCCTTGCCACTAGAGCACCACTTCTTTTTCAATCTTTTCAACAATAGGCTACTGATTTAAATTCACAAAGGAACAGATTATATGGATTACCATGCATTCTTAAAATCTGCTGTTGGTGCTCTTCCTACAAATAGAAATATATAGAAAATAGCAAAAGAGAAAAAAGGAATTAAACGGCATACATGGCCTGTTAACAGATTTCTTTATTTTTCCTGGTCAATTCTTTACCACCAATATGGAGTATGGAGTTTGGGGAGCTGCAAATTTTAAGAAATTGACATTTTCAGAAATTTCGGAAGAGGATCATTGCACTACAAACAACACTATGCAAATCAAAATGAGACAATTTAAACATAGATCTAGAGGAATACATTGAGTATTGGAGTTTGTTAATCTAAGCTAGATCATGTTAATACATAGCATCTACAAATAAAGACATATGGAAAGAATGGAATAAATAGAGAAAAAAAAACTACATCTGAGTCTCCAGAGTGCACAGTTCCTTGCTGTTAGCCTTCAAGCTCCTGTCCAATCCTATGAGCATTTCTGTAAAATAACCAAAGTGCTATTACTTCACTGAGACCCACAACTAAAAGCTGTTCAGGTTCATACACACAGCTTACATATTGCTGACATACAGTTTACTTACCACACCCTAAATATGCAAAGAGAAGCAAGAGTAGGCTAAAAGCTGACACTTCAATCATTAAAATGGGGACACAATACACAGACTACAAGTCGGTAACTGCAATAAAAGTCTTAAGAACTGACTGGAATTGTGTTCGTAATTAATAACTTAAATGAGGCTAATCCAATCTGTTAAGAGTGTTTTTAAAAACAAAGCATTATATATGATATTCACTTTCATGTGACAATTAAAGGGGAACTACGCCCATTAGAAAAAAATTGTATATATTATCCCTATGGTCTAAGACAGTCTAAAAATATTACTAAATATAAACAACTCTCCCAAATCCAAAATCTAGAGTGCTAAACCTCAAATTTGTCATGCCATCAAGTATTAAGTCTGGAACTGCTCCATAGACAATATATTGAGAAAGAATGAATATATGCGTACATTTTCAGTCTCAGAGCTGAGAACACTTCAGTAGAATAAAGCTCATTTGGGTATAAAAAAGAAAACAAACACTCTGTAGATCCACAATATCAGTCTCCCATTCACTGTATGAGGAGCAGCTCCAGAATTTATACCCTATGACATCACAAGTTGGAGACTTACTTCTCTGGTTTCTAGCTTAGAGAGAGAGTAGTTCATATATTGATGAAAGTTTCCTAGGCCACAGAAATAACATATTGGAATACTTAATTCAAGTGGTGTTCCCCTTTATTTATAAATTATGTTGGTCCACCATCAACTATGTTTACATGCATGGATGTACTGTCTTTTACAAGATACTAAAAAAAAAAGTCAAGATGAAGCAAAAATGAAGTGGTTATTCATTTGTCCTCCTGAACATTAACCATCTCTGTTGACCTCTAAGCATTGTGTCTCACGAGAGATAACTTGGGGTTTCTCTCTGTATTTATCTTGTCCATGTACTCATCCAGAGTAAAAGTAAAAACTTCCCAAAAACTGCTCATCTGTCTATCTACCTGATATTTCATTCTCTCAAAGTGCTCAGCAATCAAAAATACAGGTGGCACAAGCAGACTAGGCCTTGTTGTGTAATGCAAGCTTTTGTTTCCCCTTCACAGTTTGAGTCTGTTTTTCAATATTTATTAATACCTTCTTGGGTAAGTTTCTCTTTAGCTTATTCATTTATTTCAGGTGAGGCATCTTTTGCCTTTATTGGATAGCCATCAGTGGAGAGATAACAGGAAATGAAGGGAGAGAACAGGAGAGGGAACGGTGTGCAACACAGCATAGAAGTCTCAGGTCAAGTTCAGCCCTTTAATGCCAAAGACACCAAGGTGTCCCTGTGTTTCATTGATCAGACCATTGTTTTGTCCCAAAGCAAAATAATTAATCTGAGATCAGACATAATTTGTTAACTGTTGAAGGGAACAAAAACCTTTAAGGTGTCAGCCCTTGTGGACCACTGTTTAAAATCATAATTTGAACTTCATGTTTTTATATTAATATTCAAGTCAATACCCATGTAGTATGCATGTAAACATGGTCACAGATGGCTGTTTCAGAGCATTCGTTTAAAAGATTATGATGAAATACCTTAATATTGCTCATCTCAAGAGAAATCAATATGCTTACATTGTAGCATCTAAATATTGTACTGCACATAAAAAGAAATCCACTTTAAGGTGAAAACTTACGAGATTTTCCCAAAAGGTGCGAATGCAGCCTTGACATCCTCGGTGGTGATCTCAGGGCTCAAATCTCCCACAAAAACATGGAAGTGATCTAGAATGAAACAAAGAAAGAAAGAAACAATTTACTATTCTCTGATAAATCTGGATCTCAGCGGATAAGTCAATCAGTGAGATGGGCCACTTACTGGATGTGTCTTTCTTCTGGCTACTAGGAGTGGTGGCCCAGTTTACTTTGACCTCCTGTAAGCACAGGGTTCACAAAGATTATTTAAAACTATGACAAATAATGACAGAAACATGCATTTTCTACACAAGGAACCTGAATTACAGGTCAATTCAGAAACAGCTGAGCCCCTTAATCTTTTCATTTTGGACCAGACAAAGTCTCCTACCTTTCCTAATATCTTCCTCCCGTTCATGGCTGCAAGGGCTGCAGCAGCATCTCTGTGTTCGAAGAACTCCACAAAGCAATATGGGTCATTGCTTGTATGCTGCAGGAGACAAGGTCAAACGCAAAAGTTAAAAGGTTTGGTTCCATTTACCTCAAAGTAACTGTCTATTTTCATTGTATTTAACAATGGAGGCATTTATCCAACTATAATTAAAACTGCTGTTTTGGTTTTAGTTACAGATGCTCATTGCTAGTAAGTGAAATATGGTAGTAACCCTCCAAATGTGAATGACAGGGAAGGGGGCATAATGAGAAAAAGAACGGACATAGATATCAAACAATCTTAGTTGCTTACCTCCGTGATCATTTTACAGCTTTTACAAGGTCCAATCTGGGTGAAGAGTTGCAGAATCAAAATTTCTGTGACATCCCTGGAGAGGTTTCCCACGTACCTGCAGGGTAAAGAGGGGTTCATTTAGTACATCTGCACTGTTACAGTTCATTTAAGGTAACGATGAGGTGATACTGACAGTGATACTTATTATAAAAAAAGCAATGTGCCACGCACAGTTTATTTCGAGTATTAACGCTACCATATGGTTCGTTGATAAGTTATTAATGTGACGTTATTTACATTAGCATGACTGACTTTCGAGCTGGCCCAGCATTAGTAACGGCTAACGTTAGTTGCCTTTGTTAACGCTTACATATTACACACAAAGAAATGTGTGGTATTTATTTATTTATTTTTTATCTAACCTTATGTGAACTAACCTGACGTTAGTGACGCATTAGCTAAATGTTTATGCTGTGTGGCGGTGTTTGCCAGGTTTGTGTTATCTTTTAGTCTGCGGCTAGCTAGGTTAGCCACCGGTTCCCGACGCTATCGATGACCATCTGTAAGACACATAAAACTACTTACAGGGTTTTGGGGTGGGTTTCGTCATCCATGACCGAAGCCGACAGCTAGCGTTAACCGACTCCGGTGTCCGCTGTTATCTCCCTAGTTACAACAACTAGCTAACTAGCTAAGAAGCTAGCTAACCGGGCGCAAGTGTATACGTCACGTTGGGAGTCTAGTGAGCGAACGTGCGTGCGTGGGTGCTGTGTGTGAAGAGCGTCGGTGGGTCGGAGGTAACGAAAAGCAATTTTTACAGTGTCAGCAGTGGGAATGATGTATTTCTTAAATATAGCTCATGTTTTTAGAGGCCATTAGTTAATTAATAACAACAAAACCCCAACGGCGAACACATTCTGTATTTAACTCATCACATTAGGCAACGACCGGAGGCCATTTGCGTAAGAGACTTTTATTTTGAAGTGGAATGCGATGGTGCGCTTGTCTTAGTCACCTGTGTTCCACGGTTCATGGCAGTGTCTCGAACCACGGAGACCTTTCTGGATCTTATATCAGGAATCAGTGAGAAGACTCCAGTGGGAGCAGGATTTAAATTACACGTTCCTAATTTGATTTGATTAACAGATAGTTTCCTATAGCAGTGTTGATCTAACTGTACAAAACGTTTATTAAAGTGCATTGAGTACTGACTAATGCAGTGATACTGAACTTATGGCATGAGGAACAAATCTGGCCCTCCAAACGGTGCTTGGTGGCCCACCAACTTGTTTCTAATAAACAATATAATACTTTGATTCATTCTGGGGATTTTTTTTGTACTTCAATGTAATAGGAATGTACCAGAGTGAATAAAAAAGCATCTAGATAGAGCCTGTTTATAAAAAAATAAAAAATAAAAATAGGTATGCCCCAAATGTCCTCAAGTCCTTGAAACGCCTCTGCATAGACCTGACCTGTACTGGCTTTGCCTATTTTTTTTGTTAATCTGATAAATATTATTAATGTTTGTGTATTGCTGGCCCATGACCTCCTGTCACTTTGCAAAGTTTGGCCCCTGGGCAAAACAAATTGAGTGTCCCTGGACTAATGTGTCAAAAGGATGATAAATTGATTTGAGAACATGAGCTAATCTGTATTTAAAATGTGACTAGTCAATTGTGCATAACCAAACAGGTTGTCCATTTACATATAAACAAACAATTAATAAATTAATTATATAAATTTAGGTGGAAATATAGGCCTAAACTTCCAGTATCTAAGTCCCCTTGTCACTTTCCACCATCAGCTATCAACTAAAGGCAAAACTACAGCAATTATGATCATCAGTAAAGAATAACAGGAATAAGGAAATATAAATATGTGAATAGGCCTTCTCATTTAAAAAAATAAATAAACAGGCATTTCCACACACAAAACCAGAAACTCTCTGTTTTTGATATTATCACTTGGGGGCGCCAAAGACAGGAACTTTGACACTCTTGAATGAGTGTTTGGCAGGTACTATTATTTCAAAGTAATTTTATTAAAGGGCCAACAGGTGAGATTTTTCCCGAGTCCTTAAACTGTCAAATTTCCCTTAAAAATAGAGTTTCACTTTGTCTCTGTTACCATCCAGGCTTTGTGGCTTCACTTTGTATTGAGCAACACTGAGGTCTATACTTCATCAGTAGCCATTTCCTGACCACCACCTACCCACTGAGATGAGTGGCAGGACGGGTGGTGGATGGTGACCAGGCAGGTACATATCCATTCAGTACTGCATGGTTGATAGGTTTGCAAAAGTCACAGATGGCCCCTTGATACTAGCATGCAAATATTCTGCAAACATGTCATGAAATATTCTGGAAACAGCATCATCACTGATAAGCATTGTCAATGTGATTTATCACTGTATTAATGAGTCCACTGTCTACAGGCATCAATTATTGTGGCACATACAAATAAACAATGAAGGGTTGAAAGGAAGATTTTCCCCTCGCCAAACAAAATCTCTGAAAGAAATGTGTCTGTCACACATACACTGGGATTCAAGAGAGGGGCTACAGTTTGCTCATTTAGTTCGGCTATTTCATGATTCATTTGAATCTCCTGTATTGTGTCACGACAATATAATAATATAAATAAGTCCCTTTAATATTAGTGATGAAAAATGTTTATAGAGCTGACTTATCCACACACTCCTGTATGTTGGAATTTTTACAGAGAATATCTATGCTGATAATACATACAAACACCCATCTACAGGAATTGGCTCCACATGTAGCCTAATGTAATGCAGGTTTTGTTATTGTCAATCTGCACACATCAGGTGTCCAAAAATACAGAAATCATCTGTCTATAACTGCAATCTCTGCATCTATAAAAAAAAATCCATGCACTGATTTCAGACCGTCTCCATCCAAGTGAGGATGAGTTTTTTTGACATTTACTAGTATTTCCCTTAGTATGAGGCTAGATTGGAGTAGTCCAGTGATTAAAGAAGATCTGTCATTAGAGGTGTCACTGTGCCCACACTGTTATCACACCACCACTGTTACGTAATTGTGTACCAAATTCAAGCAAAGCCAGACTGAGATCCCTTGGACAAGATTTATAATGTGGGAGTCAGAGTACATCTATTTGGGGAAAGCTTTTGTTATGAAAAAGCTCGGGATTCCCTTGACTTATACACAGAAATCTGTTTTCGAGCAGGGGTGCGGGGACGCATAGGGGTCAGTGAAGGGTGCTCCAGGGTGTCCCAGGAATAATAAGATCCAGCAGGAGACAATATGACCAGCAGCCACTCTCTCTACAGCTGCAGCGAATATCCGCCCGAGTGCGGCTCCCTGGGAAAAAATGTAATGCAGATCAGATTCAGAGGTTTACTTTGTGTCTATGTTGGGGGGTCTGCGACATAGCGGGTTTGGGAACCCATGCCACAGTATCCAGCGCTGTCCGCCCCCAACATTAACCCGGCTATTTCGAGAAACTTCCAGCCCACTTTTACACGTCACTTCAAGGAATCTTTAAAGCGTCCGTCGCCTGTATAAAATGTTTCAGTACTCGACAGCCAGCAGCAACATGAACGGCATGAAGACACAGTCGCCGATAATGACAATGGCCAACAATGACAACGACCCTCTCCCCCTCGGCTGGGAAGTCAAAATTGACCCTCAGACTGGGTGGCCCTTCTTTGTGGATCACAATAACCGCACGACAACCTGGAATGACCCGCGACACGACACGAAAAAGGTAACGTATGAGAGCGGCGGAATAAAGTTGGGTAGTCGATGTCAACGGCTAACGGCTGTAAAACTCTTAAATGGCTATTTTTTTATGTGTCGAGCAACGTCGGTAACAGCGCGTGTACTGTTGCGCTGTTAAAGAAAAGCGTTATGCTACATCACTGTAATATTAATCTTGTTGACTGTAGGCCTTGTTTGGCACCGTCACCTCCCCCTCACAGACAGCTCATAAGCCTATTATAACGGGTGATCAACCTCGTTATGTTCCCGTGTCATGATCTAACACTATTATTACCCGATGACTCACTATGCAGTATGTAAAGGCTACCTATGATGGGCTTCCAGTATTTTAATAACGTGTCTTTCACGGTGGCAAACACTGCGACGTCCAGCTCATATTAAACTTTTTCCCTTACAAGGATTGAGGCTGGTCCAGTTCACTTTGGCCTGTAGAGTATTAACTGAATGATAGAGGCGCTGGCTGCCACAGCATGTCATGTTCAACTGTGTTTAATACATGTTGTGAAAGCACACAGGTCTGCAGAGACAACCCGTGGGCTGAAGTTAACCTCACAGGCTTCCACAGTTGGTAATCTTTAGCCTCGTAGACAGACACTGTTGTCCAAAGTTAGTGTCCCGAAGAATCTGCTAGAAAGACACAGCTGTCAGAGGATAAAATTGGTGCAATGGTGCTGGCAGTGTGCAGTGTCCCACACTGAAATGGCAGAGGGCAAAGGGTCGTTCACAGCTACTTCATAACTTTTGTCCCACAGGGAGCATGCCACTGGCTTACGTATGAATGCAGTTTTTGCTCTGTGGTTAGTTGTTTTTAATTACCAGAGGTAGAACTACAATCACTTTTCAGATGCATCATTGACAGAGTGCTGAACTATCAGTAGACCTGTTGCTTGTACCTCTCCATAGCTGTCACTGGCAGGTGTCTAGTCACCATTGTGAGAATGATAAAATAGACTTTTTCTAACTTGGCGACTGGAAATTTGCAACATTATTCCTGATGAGTCTCACTGTCAAACATCCAGCAGCGTGTTGATAGTGCCAGTGTTGTACTTAGTGAGATATTGTGCTATTTTTATTTCCTGCAACAGCAAGTCCCCAGCAAGGACTTACTTTTAGTTTTTTAAGCAAACAAATGTATTCTTGGTTTATTTATGTTCTTTTTCACGAGACTAGACCAGAACAGGCGTGGTCAAAAATGACTGACAAGGAAGATATACACTGTCATTCATGTGAATGCAAAAATAATACTAATATTGACTCTTTTGTCTTTGTGAAGTTTGTCAAAGGTTGGAGCATAGACAGTTCTCTCTTTATGTATGACACAATGATCATTAGCTAATGAAATATTAGCTTTGAGGGCGTGCCAAACTATTGTGAGCAGGATCATTTAGCCAGGTGAATGATGTCACCCAGATTGTGGAGCAAAATATCACAGCCACTGTCTGACTGGATGTTAGCTTAAGTCCATATTAATCAGACAAGTCAATTTTATTTATTAAATCCTCAAAGAGGTGATACATTTGGCATCCCTCTGTGGAAATGTCACATTTTAACCTATAACCTTTGCAGTAATCTCAGGACTGAGAGAACTTTCCTATGACAAATACCTCCAAAAACGTCTTTTGCGTGTATTATTATGTCCGTGGTAAGTTTTTGCAGAGAACATGTTTGGCTGCACATATGCATATACGTATGTTGGATTTATTAAGGTTCACTTGCAGTTTTGGATGTACTTAATTTAAATGTAAATCTCTTAGTGGAGGAGTGCCTATGCAAATCACTAGATGAAAGGGATGTTACAGCTTTTCTCAACTACGTGAGAGAAGCTTGGTTAAAAATACTCTAGCATTTTGTTAGTTTTAAAAGTTTTTATAGCTTCCGATTTAGCAAAACATGCCAGTCACCTGGAAAAAAATTTGATAATATCATAACAATTAATAATTGACTTAGGTTTGAGGATCATAATGTCAACTGTCTAATTTTTTTTTTTTTTTTTTTTTTTGACATTTTTATTGAGTTTTCACAGATACATCAACAGTACAAACACATTGACAAAGAAGTGATACAGTACAATACACAAACCAATTAAAAATGTAAAGTAACAATAATTGGTTGTCTGGTACTGTTTTACTATTGAAATAAGGGTCTTCAAATTAGGCATTCTTTCAGCGGGTGTCAAGTCTCATGTAAATGTTCCATTTTTTTCCCAGTTCTTTTTCAATGTATTCTCCTTAAATCTGAATTCTTTAATATTTTTAATATAAGTAGAGAAACCAGCATCAGTGTTGCCTATAATGTTAATATAAAGGTATTTAAGTGCTAGTAGAGTAGTAATTAAGTTGCTTTCCTTTGCTGGATCTTGTAATAGAAACAAATGAAAAGATTCTTGGTGTTAACTGCTGTAAAGGTATCATTACTGGTGATTTCACATTTTAAATTTTATCTACATACTGCTGGCTGTGTTTCAGGTCAGAGAAGTGTCAGCAAATGGACCCAACATACCACCAGAACCAAGCCCTCAGGAGACACAGAAAACCTTTGTGAGGGAGATGAAACACCCTATTTTGCGCCCAGGATATGTTCCTATCCCAGTCTTCCACGAGGGCGCCGAACTGAGGCAGCAACAGCATCCATGTTATTCCTACATCCAGCCAACCACTGCACAGAATATCCGGTCAGACGGGCGCACACCTTCCCCAACATTAGGGCTCCACTGCAGGCCCAGATCACCTTTACATGGATCCTCGGATAGTTGCTCTGCTGAGCCTATAAAGGCCAGCTCGCCTGTTACACAGACAGCAGAGGTGGGATTTGAGTATGCATGCTGCAATACTGTCTCATTTGTATGCACAAAAATGACCAAATACTGAATTTTCACTGTTTTAATTTGATATATTTTCAAGGTTTACACTGCCCCGCATCATCACCAACCCCAACGGCCCAGCAGCACTGGTCTTCAAGCAGGTTACATCCCCATCCCGGTGATCCATGAGGGTGGAGGAGGCCAAACACAAACACAGGCTCAGTTAAATCCTTCTGTCTACTCTCAGCGCACCCCCTACTCAGAGCACCAGCAGCCCTACCATCGCCTTCAGACCGACGAATGGCCTGGCTACTCTGCGGCAATGCAGCCTCCCCGGGAAAGAGCTTCTCCAATACTGCTTCCCCAGCATCGTGATGCTTCGTCTATTCACCTCCAACCTCATATTAGAAGCCAGTCACCTATTGTAACACAGGTGCTTGGAGAAAGGCCACAGGTAATTTATTTTTGTGTTTTTTCACTTGGATTTTTCTTGGTTCAGAAATGTTTGATTTTCATGTCAGTATGTGTTGACCTACATTGTGACGACTTCTTTTTACTTCTAAGGCTCAGCAGCATGTCCTCACAAGAGACCCGCCCCAGAAAATGGAGCAGGAGCAACAAAGCACTCAGCAGAAACCCGAGATCACGCAGCTCCCCCAGCCAATGCACACAGAAGCTGACATCCCAAAGCCTCAACAACCTCAACCCTTCCAACAGCCTCCACCTCAGCAACCTCAACCGTTGCAACAGCCTGCACCTCAGCAACCTCAGCAGTTCCAGCAACCTCAGCAGTTTCAGCAGCCACAGCAGTTTCAGCAGCCACAGCAGTTTCAGCAGGCACCACCTCCAACATCTCCACAGTCTCAGCATCCTGAACAGTTACTGCAGTCGCAGCAACAGTTCCAGCAGCCCCAGAAACCTGAGCAACCACAACAACATACTGCAGATATCACGGTTCAAATACCTCCAAAACCTGAGGCCCAGGACATGGCACCTGTTCCCCCAGAGGTCCCACCTGCAAAGGTTGAGGCTGAACAGGCTGCTCAGTGCCCAGTTCACCCAGGCTTGGCTAAGGTGCAGCAGATAGTTGAACGGGTTGCTAAACTGGAGCACGAGGTGAAATGTTTTGATGGAAAGAAGAATGATAAGAAATATTTGTTACTCGAGGAGCTGCTGACCAAAGAGCTCTTAGCACTGGACTCGGTTGACCCAGAGGGTCGTGCAGATGTACGGCAGGCAAGACGGGATGGAGTCCGTCGTGTTCAGACCATACTGGAAGAACTGGAGCAACTGGAGGAGCAGCCAGCCAGGCCTGCCAGCCAGGCTTCGATGGAGGGAGACAACCAGACGCAGAAAGGAGAGCCCAGAATGATCACCACGGAGAATGTTGAGCTGGCAAAGGAGATATCATAATGACTTCACACTTCATAATCAAGAGGAGAGCAGGATAACCTGCTGTATATTTGACAGTGAACAAGTCTGCTCTGGCTAACTCCTCCTCCTCTATCTACAGCATTTGTGGAAGTTGCATGCATTGATTAACAGTGTTGGTATTTCCTGCCATTCAGCACATAATTGATGGTAGCTCAGTGCAATCATGTTTTTCAAGCCAATGTTGTTGCCTTCTATGTTGTGCCAATGTCTTCATAATAAGACAGCTGTCATGATCAAGGTGTTGACAACAATTTCTAGTCACATTAAAGTTTGAATAAGAGGCCTTTATCAATAAATGGAAGAAAAGTAGAAGTATTTTCTTAAGAAATATGTGTGGTTGCCTTTTGTCTTGATCAAATATTGTATGAAGCTTTTCTTAATCCAGCCAGTGGATCAGTTAGTACATGAGTGCAAACATTGGGGCTTTAAAGCAGAACTCACTGCAAAACTCAGTCAACAGAGAAGCATTTTCCCCTTTATAGCCACATGGCCATGTTGGAGCTGCTTTGTCACAGAACACAGTGAATATGTTTATTAGATGCTGCTTTTTGGTGCATTACTGATTTTGCTGTCTTTGCACTTTGCCATCATTGAAATGTATCATGCTGAACAATCAGCGGCACTTCATTTGAAATATATAAGTTACACAAGTTTTGATTGACGTGTTTGTATGTGCATTGGTTTACTTGTTATCTCAAAACATTATATCAGTATTTATATCATTATATAGTATTTTGGTACATTTATGAATGTGTAATGACAAATGGAGGTGAGATGTGGATCTTTCTCAAGATGTCAGACAATCAGCACCTGGTGCTAATGAGGAATCACAGTTGTCAGAATGTATAACTACCACAGCCACAATCTGTAACAACACTAACCCAAAAAACGTCCTGAAAGCCTTACAGATGCCTACTGTGAGACAGTGCCCAATTCTTTAAGAGATGGAGTGCAAGAACACTTCAATCCGTCTTTTAGATAGGTCCAAAATTACTTTCGAGATAACCCTGCTGTTTGTGTCATAATTTGTCTCTATAATACGATCATTAACCATCTGTAAGGTCGGGCCACTGCCTAACACACCTTTACAAATTATGGATTGTGGTTTTTTGTTGATCACTGTTTATGAGTAGCAGGATGATGCATTGTTGAAAACAAGTCACGTTGGTATGTTTGAAAATAAAATGTATTTGACATGGATCTTGACTGATATTTGGGTTCCCTCACATTCTGCTAAGTATTTTTTTATATAGGATCATGTTAGTAGTCCTTAGTTGTTTTCAGAGCATAAGGAATGATGTTTGCTTTAACTGTGTATATGCAGTAGACCTAATACTGAATTTAAAGTATGTTTACTCCCTGCCAAAATAATTCATATTTTAATAATGTATGAGTATGCGTGTGCTCCACATTTGGATCTGAAGATATGTCCCTGACCCAGTCTTCAGCTGTCTGGCTTAGTTTTCCACTGAAGAGCTTTCAATGGTAAGATTAATGTCTGTATGAGGTCAGCTGCTCCCTGCCTTTTCCCTCAGAGCCCCACTGAGTCATAACTGAGAACATTTTTGCTGCCTTATTCCTAGGAGGGTGGGGACACTGAAAATGTGTGAGTGGTGTGGTTTGCGCTTTTTTTATACAAATGATCCCAAATTTAAATATCAGGAAAGGGGCTTCATTACTTTTGCTTGATGGTTGTTTTATGAATATTTGATAAATGAATATCCCCAGATTTGCTGTCAGGAAACAAAGGATGCTGAAGCTGTGACGTGCTTTCCCTGACATGATTTAATTAAAAAAAAAAAAAGCCTCATATTCTTAATTGTCACTTTCACCAGAATGGGAAGTGCAGTTAACATACGAAATCTTCAAAATAAAATAACACTTAAGCACATAGTTAATAATTACAGTAATCATTGTAGTGACTTGTGTAAACAGTGTTTCTGTACAGTACCTGTACGCCGGCGATGACGGAACACATCACGTGCCATTGTTTAGAGCAGGAAACTGTCGGTTACGTTGTGAACTGTACGCAGCAGCTGCTGGGACACCGTCTCACTCATTGATGTGTCTTTGGCTTTACTCTGTCCAGCATGACTGTGGGAAGGGCTGCTTCTCCAGTTGAAAGGGAATTTAATTACCAGTATGCGTAGAAGTGGAATAAACAAATCCGACACGCATCCAGCTGCTGCCGCTAGCTCGCGAGGTAACGTTAGCTAGCCGCCGTAGCTCACCAGCTTGTGGGGAACGAGCTAACCGTGGCTAGCCAGTCGCTCTCTGGCTAGCTACAGTTCACCTCCAAGACGTGGAAGTTGATAATTGCCTGTACCTGGCTGCCGAGCCAGCTTGTTACCGGTTTTGTGTAACGTAAAGGGACAACATGGAGCTGTTCCAAGCCAAAGACGAGTACATTCTTCAGAGCGGGGACCGTGCTCTGTGGTGCAGCCGAAAAGACGGGACCATGACCGTCAGACCTGGTATGTACTGGATGACAGCTTTCTTCGCTGCAGCCGGCCATTTACCTGAAACTACATCTTTTGGCTATAAGAGTGAAATAAACGCTATTTCTTGACCTGCCTTGAGTTGACAAACATTATGATACTGATGGTTTTGTCACCATGTCTCTGAAACACCTCAGCGGTTTAGTCTAATCTTCTACTCCTAATTGTCACCTATTAATATCTGAAATAAATGTAATCAAACAGCTCTATTTAGCCAGCTGCGTCAAAGAAAAGAAGTTGTTCGTTATAAAGGAAGGATGGAAAATATTGAATGCGCCATTCCTATGTCTTTAAATCATCGTCCTAGCTTTCATTCCGGGAGTGCCAACACCCCAAACAGACTTCAAAGTTCTTGCTTTGCTTTTTATGTTACACACTGAAGGGTAAATTTGACTCCTCAGTTCTTCTGTAGAACAAACAGACACATTACAGCACTGTGAGGAGGTGGGAAAACAGAAATTCACCTTTTATATGATACGCTTCACTTATGACATCTTAAAGTATGTAATATGCTGGTAAAGTGAATTATTAGAAAACTACAATACAATTATGGTGTATTGTAGTTAGTTACAATATACACAGGTTCACACCAGCAGTTTGTAAAGCAGCTCCTGGCATTACACCTTAGCCACATTGCTGAAGTGCTGCTGCAGCTCATAGCTGTGACAAACCCTTGATTTTATATTGAATGAAACACAGTGGACTGTGGGAATTACATATTCCCGGCTTAAGTGGAAGAACTGCTGAACTAAAAGAGAAGTTTCATTAGTCACCAGAAGGCAGTGCATGTTCTCCTCTGTGTCAGTTGAAGTTGTATGGCTGTGCAGCCATCCTGAACAGGTTTTTAGTTGCACCACTCTTTCATTATTTAATTGGAAAAAGGGTTTCCACTCCTCGCTGGGTTTCCACTCCACTCTCAAGCTCACAGTGAAGTCTTTCCATGATATTACACCTTCTGAGTGAAAGTGTGGTATTATTTGTTAGCATTGTTGTATTTTGTTTTGTTCCTGTGAGACTTTTCCTGTGGGGCGCTTTACAGACTGTTCCTCTGTACATGAAATGTTCTGGCTGGTGGAACAGGAAGAGTCATTGTCTGAGGCTGCCTACAGTTGGTGTACTCCACCCGTAGCCACACCCCTCACACTTTTCCAATTTCCTCCCCTCTGATGTCTAATCCCTCACCAATGCTAGGCATTCCAGTTTTTCTTTTAGTTATTGAGTCTGTGCGTTGCTATAACTGACCTAAGACTTGACCTGCTGTTTTAAAAAAAGAAGACAGGCTAGTTCTTTTTGTCTCCAATCAAATCACACTTTTCTTCAATAGGCACTTTCAACACTAGACAGTTTTAGTGTATCTGTACTTTTAATGCAAATCTGCAGGAAGAATGACAGATGTATAACACTGATACAGATTTAGTGGGATCTATGGGTTGTTGCAGCGTTTACCCCAGCTGCAATTTCTAGATCAAGTCTTTGAGGTTACACATGTTTTACTGGGTATTAAATATAACTTTTGGTATGGTAACAGGAAATCACCCAACCACAACTGTGAGGTACTTTCTGTGTGGTTAAGCTCTTTGTGTGACTATTAAGCTTTTTCTGACACTAAAGGTGCACATACTCAAACCTTTCAAGCAATGACCCGAGGCCTCAATAAACAAAGTGGCCTATCTGACTCTATCCTAGCATGTGTAGTTTTTGACCCTGGCTGCTTATCTGGCCTCAAGCATATCTTGCTGAGTAGTCCTGCTACACCACTGTTGTGATGTTTCATCTTAATGTTTCTATTTCAGCTACAGACCTGTTGTTAGCTTGGAATCCAGTGTGTTTGGGTTTGGTAGAAGGTGTCATCGGAAAGATACAGCTTCACACAGGTAAGTGGAGAATGAAAATGTCACCCTCAGCTGTTTTTTTTTTTTTTTTTTTGCTTTTGCACAGAGCACACACATTCTTCCCAGTATTTCCCATCTGTGTGCAGTGGACACTTGAGTTACCAAATCATCCGGTGCTAGGCATGTTTCTTACTCACCATGAAATGTGTGAAAAAATGTGTTAAAGTACTTTGAGATGTGTGTAGTTATGAAGAGGAGTGAGCTAAAAGCGATGATTCAATTGATGATAATTCTGATTTTGTTGATGGCTTGCCTCTGTGGGCCTCAGGGTAGAAAGTCTGAGATTATACCCTCCACAAGAAAATATATGAACAGTTATATATTATTCTAATAATTCAGGTAGATTAACATGGTTTGTGTATTTCTTTACCAGATGTCTTGTGATACCTTATTAAAAATCTGCAGTTAATGGCTGGTGTACAGCTGGTTTCTTCACACCTTTCAGAATGTGAGGAATTCTGCACCCATGACGCAACTCCCCCTTCTTCTTTCTCCTCTTGGCAGACCTTCCTCTGGGCCTTGTATTAATCCGTCAGAAAGCACTGGTAGGCAATCTACCAGGCAACCACAAAGTCTACAAGATTACCAAGATAGCTGTCATTCCTCTGTCTGATGAAGAGCCTCAGGAGCTTGAGCTGGAGGTGTGTACACTGATGCTGTAATGAGCCATGAGCAGCGGTGTTCATGTACTTCATGTACTGTTTTTAATTATTGCACTCAGCTCTCCTGACGATGATTCTAACAGTCCTTGTGAGGACCCTAAATTGTTATTTTATGTGCCCAAAAATACCCTGTATGCGTCACCGTATGATTCCTCTCTGATGGGCTGACAGTGCTGCAAAATGAGTTGTAGACTTAATATTATTATTACTATTATTAAAAGATGTTTTTATTTTCACCCAGACATTTAGAGTGAAAATTAGATGCAGACATTTGATTATTGTAATAGATAACAAAGGAAGTTGAATATTGCTAAGATTTCAGTCTTTCAGGGGAGCTTCATGGATGGTGAGACAGAATATTTTCAAGTGAGTAAATATTGAGGAGGATTGTTGCTGGATAGGCTTTTAGACCCCATCCTGTTGTACATTGTGCTTGTACTGCAGAATGATCATTCCACCCCTATTGTGCCTAGAAATCCTATAGATCAATGTAGCTGTTAGATTGTTTATGAAAATGAAAACTGCGTAGAGTACTGTATTGTTTTGTGTTTCAGTTTTTGGCTGTTTGTAGCGGGTAGTAATAACATTTTTTTGTTAATTTGCTGTTTTAAGAATTTAAAGGTGGTATTAAATTCAGTTATAAAATCCTCGCCAAATTGACAATTTCTTTAACTTTATAAATATCACCACCATGTGCATGTACTTGCATACATTTGATAGAGGATCCTCTTTTGCAGCTTTGCAAAAAGCATCACTTTGGAATCGACAAACCAGAGAAACTGGCCCAGTCTCCCGACGACTCAAAGTTTTTGATGAAAACCTTCAGCCAGATCAAATCTAATGTAGCTGTGCCGATCAAGAAAAAGGTATTTTTTTGTTGTCCACTTCTTAAAAAATGTTTTCTGTCATCCTCAGACCGACACTCTGCTTTTCCTATCTTCGGGGCTTTTAAGGGCTGTGAAGTTCTTGAGGGATTTTGTTTTCTTTGCTTTTCAACTTACCACTCTTTTCTAGCCACACACCCAATCCAGTATTCCCCTGCCTTCCAGGTCAAAGAAAACAAAGAGAAGGAGCGTCTGGAGAGGCGGCTGCTGGATGAGCTGTACAAGATATTCATGGACTCAGATTCCTTCTACTACAGCATGACCTACGACCTGACAAACAGTGTGCAACGCCAGGGAGACTCGGATAAATCCGGCTTACCCCTGTGGAAGCAGGTGTGGAGAGGAACACGTCTCACAACTTGTTATATTTTACATATTTATACAGCAAAAACCCTTGAATGTGTGACTGACAGTAACTTTTATTCTTTGTGAAAGGTGGATGACCGTTTCTTCTGGAACAAACACATGATCCAAGACCTTATTGACCTTCAGGTAAATTATTCTTCCACACAGAAATAAGTTGGACAGTTACCATTTCTCTCATTTAAGAGTTCAGTAAATATACTTTTCTTCCACATTTGATTCATTGACAGTTGCTGCCATAGTGTTTTTCTTTACACTTGTCAGCTCTGTGAGCATAGCTGGCTTTGCTGTGTAAGCAACAGTTGCATGTGCTGATAATTATCAGAGCTTTATCAGGAGAGTATGAAAATACTTGGTGAATAAAAGGTCAACGGCTGAGTTAAGAAAGATTATCTACTTGGGATACTTGGTGTAAAGTGCTTCCTTATCAACCTAAAAACAGCATGTTAATCTTCTTGTCCTTGTGTTACTTTTAATTCTTTGAATGCTCCAGGTGCCAGAGGTGGACTTCTGGGTGACACCAGTCATCCAGGGCTTTGTACAGGTGGAGGAACTGGTGGTGAACTACAACGAGACATCCGATGACGAGAGGAGCAGCCCTGAGACTCCACCACAGGAGATCACCTGCGTTGATGACATACATCCTCGCTTCACTGTGGCCCTGATCTCCAGACGTAGCCGTCACCGTGCAGGTAGAGCTACGCTTACTGTCAGCTTGGCCCAGAGGAAGATCATGCCTGAACTCTGATTCAGCCCAAATATATAGCATATGTTTTATAATTAAGACTCATTGTTGCAACTTCCAAATAGGGTTTCTTTGAATAACCTGGCAGACAATTTAGTTTTTATACTCTTCAAGTGAAGCATGATCTGTCATGAATAACCTGAATAGTGTTGAAGTATTCTCCCTCTCTCCCAAAGGGATGCGGTACAAACGCAGAGGAGTGGATACCGAGGGCCGTGTGGCTAACTATGTGGAGACAGAGCAGTTGATCCATGTGCACAGCCACACTCTATCGTTTGTGCAGACTCGTGGCTCTGTGCCTGTCTTCTGGAGCCAGGCAGGGTACCGCTACAATCCCCGGCCACGCTTAGAGAAAGGTCAGCAGAAATATGTTATCTTGCATTCAGTCCTGTAAAGAGGGTTCCTTAGAGGCTTTGTTTGAGTATCATGGGCCATGCACTTCCATTTTTTTATATAACTGTAGGTGAATTAAAAACTCTCTTAAGAAGACAGCAATTCAGTCTCCAAACTAACAATGATGTAAACGTTTGCTAACTAGATTTCTTGGTGTCTTCATACAGATTCTGTTATACTGAAATCATTTGTATGCATATTTTTCTGTTTCAGAGGAGAAAGAAACAATGTCTTACTTTTCTGCTCACTTTGAGGAACAGCTTAAACTCTACAAGACCCAGGTGGGTTTGCTTTGCCAGAGCGTATGCTTGGATATGTGCTTAGCATAGTTATTGATTACTTGCGTGCAAGTAGTAGTGGTAGTTTTTTAGGCTGTGTTAACAAAGGTGTTGCTGTTGAGGTGCAGAGAGAAAGATGGTGCTTGGATGTAGCAGCACTGTTATATAAGATTTTGAAAAGCTAAACTATTGGCTTTTTAAAAATTGCAAACTTAAATGTAGTCAACCATGTCCATGTCCAAGGTGCCACTAAAAGCATCAGTTTCCTTCCTCTAACACTGAACATCACAGTGTGTTTCCACAGGAAAAGCTTAGAGGGGAACATTTGTTATACACAAGGCTAAATGACAGCACTCTTTATTGTCTTCTTCAGGTCATCATTAACTTAGTGGATCAAAGAGGACGGGAGAAGATAATTGGCGATGCATATCTGAAACAAGTCCTGCTTTACAACAACCCAAACCTCACATATGTTTCATTTGACTTTCACGAGCACTGGTAAAAGAAAACACTCTCCTCAGCAACTTTTTCATGAATGTAGTAATTCTTTTTATACCACGCTGCATTTACTTCCCCTTTATGCTTCTTGTATCCTGTTTCTCAGCCGAGGTATGAAGTTTGAGAACGTGCAAATACTGACAGATGCTATCTCTGATATCATAACTGACATGAAGTGGGCCTGGTAAGTGTCATGCATATTATTTTCTAATTTTAATTCCAGGTTTTCATAGGGGCATGTTTTGTTTTGATAGAAAACAACAATTAACTACTAGTAGGTTGCAGTGCATATTAGTAATCCTGTTTTTATTGGGCTGTGAGATTGTAATCCTATGAATGTATCTATTTCTGTCAGGGTGGATCAGGCCGGAGTTATATGCAAGCAGGAGGGCATCTTTAGAGTCAACTGTATGGACTGTCTTGACAGGACCAACGTGGTCCAGGCTGCTATTGCGCGGGTGGTGATGGAACAACAGGTGAGAATCAGTTCTTGTGTGGATCCAGGCAAAGAAATGAACTTACATTTCTCACAGCACATAACATTTGTTATTATGTAGGTCTGCTGTACCTTGTAGGTGCTGCTTTCTTAATGTAACTTATTTTTTCCAATACCAGTGACCTTTTGGACTCAAAGTTATGTTGTTTCTTATGAAATTGCTCAGAGTCCTTAGTGCATATATAAGTAAATGTCATTCTCCTGGGTGCCCATCAAGTATGTAAGGAACAGCAATAATTAAATAGTTTTTCTGGGATAATACACATTAACAACTTTGCTCATCCTCATCAAATGTCACCATCACTTACTTATTTTATGACTGCTTTCTAAAACTAGGATTGCAAAATGCTCTACCAAAGGTGTGAGCATGATTCTCCAGATTCACTTGGCAAAATGAATGTTTGTCTCTGTTAGTTTTTTTGCAGTTTGCTTACAGCTGATTACCGGCATCTGCATGTATTTGCTCATCAGATCACACACAAATGTCATCTGTGATGCTCGTACAGAACAGATATCAGAAACAGATCTTGAGTGCACACCAACACAACCACAGTTTATTCTCCCAAAATATGTTAAGCTTTCAGTAAAATCCAGCTACACCACTCATCTTGGATTACATTTAATGAGCAAATATAAGTGTAAATTGATTTAAATAAATAAAGGCTGACCTTCTCCACTGATGAAATGTAAATTGAAAGCGAGACGTCATCATGTACTCACATTTTTAAGAGCATCCCCGTAGACAAAAATGTCTCTTGTGTTCCTGCAGCTGAAGAAACTGGGCGTGATGCCTCCAGAGCAGCCTCTGCCTCTCAAATGCTACAGGATTTATCAGATCATGTGGGCCAACAACGGAGACACCATCAGCAGACAGTATGCTGGCACAGCAGCGCTCAAGGTAACATAATTGTCTTTGCACACACGTTCACGTCTGAATCTCTGTTTGCTTAAACAAATTGTAGTGAAGCGTGCCATCTTTTGTTTTCAGTGGATAGTCAAAGCTGTTGTGACGCACTATTTCTCTAACAGTAGGAGTCATAAATTAACAGAGCATGACATATGATTAATAGGGACTGAGGGTTTTTTTTTTAACTTCAATGAGACTAAAATCACAGAGGCTCACGAGTCAAAAGTGTATTCAACAAATTATGATTGGTTTTAGGGAGATTTCACCAGGACGGGGGAGAGGAAACTGGCTGGTGTGATGAAGGATGGTGTGAACTCAGCCAACCGCTACTATCTGAACCGCTTTAGGGATGCTTACAGACAAGCGGTCATTGGTACGGAAAACAGACGCACATCATAGCTGTATATATGTATTCATACACAGCTTGTCCCAAAAGTCTGTCCCTAATTGACTCTTCTGAATCCTCTGCCTCTTCCTGCAGACCTAATGATGGGCCTGCCAGTGACAGAGGACCTGTACTCCATTTTCAGTAAGGAGAAGGAGCATGAAGAGAAGGAGAAAGAGAGCCAGAGGGGAGCGCAGGAGCAGGTTAGCCTCCTGCTGCAGACATACATGCAGCTTCTGCTGCCTGATGATGAGAAGTTTCATGGAGGGTGGGCCCTCATCAATTGTGACATGAGGTTAGTTTCTAGCTGCCTTGCCTTTTGTACTATTTATACTGAGTTTCTATTAATTGTGGAAGTGCTCTTTTCACGACACTGTTTTCTCATTTCCCACTAGCCTTGTTGATGCAACCAACAAAGACGTGGATGTGCTGCTGCTTCTGTCTGACAAAGCCTATTACATTGCTTAGTAAGTCTGACTTTAAAATGTACCCACATTTTCTTGTAGAAATTGTTCTTATTTATTAATTTATGTTTGCATTTGTTTTGTTGCAGCTACGATGATGAAGCAGATAAAGTCAACCAGTACCAGCGCCTCAATTTGGAGGGTTTGGAAAAGATCGAAATTGGTAAGAAGTTAAGACTCAAAAGAGAAGTGAGGGTTCTCGTGCACTTACTGAGTCACACCACACTTCCTAAAAGTGTGCTTAACAGTTTCTCAGTAACCTTTTCAGCAATATCTGTGCTCATGATTCATACAAGGAAAGCACATCACTAAAAAATGGAAGTTATAAGTTGTGTTCTCTCTTTCAGGTCCCGAGCCTACACTGTTTGGGAAGCCAAAGTTCTGCTGTATGCGTTTGCACTACAGGAGCGAAGAGACGAGTGGATACTTTCACACGCTGAGAGCAGCAACACGAAATCCTGAGGATGACGGAAAAGGTAGGATATAATTCTTTCAGTTCTTAAAATGGCCAGAAAAGGATACATGTAGATCAAACTCTGCAAATACTGATTGAGATTTACATTGTGACATATTCCAGACACATTACAATGCATAGCTGAGATGCTTCGCATAACTAAACAGGCCACAGGACTGGACCTGGTTGTGGTTGAAAAGAGGCTGGAGAGGTGAGTACTAACTTGTTGTCATTAACATGATTAGCATTAGTGTCTGTCTCGTTTTTGTTTTACATATTTAATTGAAATGAAAATAAACATTTGCGGCCATTGTACTTCAACTTTTAACCAATGACAAGAGCTGTGGGTGGCGTACTTATTTTGTATCTGTGTTACAGGCGGCAGAGTAAACCTCATGAGGATATAATGGGCATCCAGAACAGACCTGCTGACCATGTCCAGGGTAGTTCTGGTCTGGCACAGGGCAAAAGCTTCCTCCTCAACAAATTCTCCTCCCTCAATCAGAAAGTCAAACAGACCAAGACGAATGTGAACATTGGCCCCTTCAAGCCACTTGGGAGGCTGGGCAACTTCTCAAAGCCTGATGTAAAAGTCAATTTCCTAAAGCCAACTATGCATGTCAACCTGTGGAAGTCAGACAGCAGCTTGGAGACATCAGATAACCCTGGCACAGGAGCCCTAAAAGATATCGGTGATGGGCACTCTGAAATCTCTGATGATTCTGACTCCTATAATTCTGACCCAGAGCACCCGTGTGCTGGTTCTTTAGAAAATGTGGACTATGTGCTGCCTAGCTGTGGCATTGTAGCATCAAACCCTCGACTGGGAAGTCGCTCACAGTCTATTGGCAGTGTGGAGCTAAATATCCCCTCTGTTATTCGGGTCACAGGCTGTGATGGGAAGCAGGAAAGCCCCTCTCAAGTCAGTGATGACAAGTCCCCAGGGGCTGCCTCAGTGGCTGAAGAAGCCATTCTGATTGACTTTGGTACTCCCATTGATGCCTACTGCCACCAGTTTGTCCACGATGCGCAGACCAAACCTGTGGAGGTGTTTGGAGAGCTGCCACAAGCTGCTGTCCCCCCTCTCAACCCCGCGGTGCCTGTGCAAAATAAGACCCCAGCAGACACAGACAAGCAGCCAAGCTCGGAGCCACAGCCTGAGCCCCAGCTCCCCAGGCCGTCCCAGCTAGATGTTGACTCCACTACCTCCGCTTCCAACCTTCTCACCGTCCAGAAGCCCAGCTCTGCCGCCTCAGGAGGCTCTCAGAGGAGTCTGTGTTCACAGCTGGAAGGGAGCCTTGGCCCGTCACCTGCCGACAGCAACGGCAGCAGAGTGGTGTCCCCCTTTGCCAAGATCAAGAGCTCCATGGTCCAGGTAGCCAGCCTCACCCAGGCGGGACTTACCCAGGGCATCAACTTTGCTGTGGCAAAGGTACAGAAGAGCCCGGAGCCAGATACTGTCAATGAAGCCCAAGAGAGTGAGCTGAAGGCAATGTTTACACAGTGCCAGACCAGGATCATTCAGATCTAGTGCTTTCCTTGTAGCAGGATTTTGTAGTCGTACATCGTGTAAAAACTTCCTGTATGGTAGCAGTAGCAAAAGCTTGCACATAGCGTCACTACTCGGCCAAGAAATGCGCTCCTAAATTTGCCCTTTAGTTAAACTTGCCCATGTTAGTGATGGCTCTTGTACAGAACTTAGACATATATATTTAAGCCCAATATGACAGTGACCATGTTTACATGCACATAATTATGGATTCCCTTATACTCAAGAGAGCACCTACTGTCCGGTCCAGTTTTTTGACATGAGGGACTTTTAGCAGATATCCCTTTTACCATGCAGCATTGCACAGTGTCAGGTATTTAAAAATTAATTGCTGTCATATTCCTTTACTATAGAAAATGCAATAGGGGAGATTCCATGACATTTTTGATGTAAATGTCTTAGAATACCAGTACTGAGTACCTAGACTGAGCATAAAAATGGTATATGGTCAATGTTTATGTGTTTGGGGACTCTGTTACAATACCCATATTCAGTACAGCACAGTACATTTGATTGAGATAAGTGTATGTCCATTTAAATTATAAATCACTCCACAAATATTGCTACTGTTAAAGTACAACTGCACGATATGCGAAACAAATCATACTGTGATTATTTTCACAGATATTGTTCTTGCAATATGAGTCACAATTTTAGTGGGAATGGTAATTTTTGCATTTCATTTTTACAGAAAAAATATTTAATGTGATTTTTGCTGAGGTTTGTACCAAAAGCATGTTCCCTTGGGTCTGCAAAATGATTTGTAGGCCGAGGCATCTCTGTAGCGCCACAGTGCTTCATTTATAATGGCATGTTGTGACACCTTTTACCTTTTATCAAAAAGATTGCAGCACGTGTGATGTGGATATTGCACTTGGCCATATTGCGATTTCGATAATATTTTGATTAATTGTGCAGCCCTTGAAGTAAATTGTTCTCTTTAAGTAGTTTTCTTATCAAAGTTCAAGTATATTCTCATTATTATTACCTTAAGAGTCAAATGACAATACATGAGAGGATGTTTAGGTTTTCAAGATGTTTTAAACTCATTTTTTTGTGCATGTAAACATGTCACTATAAGTCTGACATGTTACTTTACCCACAGTGCTTGCATGTGAGGTTAACGGTAACTGATTTTGACATGGCAGGTAAACATTAATTGTATGTCGAAAGTAGGGATAGACCGATATGGATTTTTTAGGGCCGATGCCGATACCGATTTTTTTCCATCACCCTTAGCCGATGACCGATTATGAATTGCCGATTTTCTTGAGCCGATATTTGGGGCCGATACTGCTTTTGCTCCCTCAATTTACATAAAAAAATGACACCATGATAACAAATATTACAGGTCTCAAGTTTAAAATAAGAAACATTTATTGAACAGTAAAAAATACTAAAACAAGATGGAAAGTTGAGGTAGAACAGGTAGAATATTATTATTATTATTATTATTATTATTATTATTATTATACATTTAAATAAAAAAAAAGAGTTCAGTGCTCTTAAATCTTCCAGTAATGTCTTTATAAAATAAACAAATATTTAAGCTGAAGCATAAATAAAACAACAACTACTGTACACAGTAGGATTCAACAGCTTTGTTCAACTTAACCACATACTTTCAAATGAAAAAAAGTGCCAGGGAAAAATAAATCCGCGAACCCACGTGCGTATCGGCCGATGCCAATACAAGTAAAAAAACTCAAATATCGGCCCGATATATCGGCCAGCCGATGTATCGGTCTATCCTTAGTTGAAAGACCAACTTCGACTTTATCATGTACTGTACGTCACCCTGTATGTGCAGGTCACGTATTGGCATTTGTGATATAGACCTCGTAATAACCCTCAATTTGTAACAGTTGTTGTAGAATCCGACCAAATACTTTTTTGTGATTGCTGAAGAAGGACAGTTCTGTGTTAACTATTACCCTTTGTATAGCTGTCAGAATCTAGCCAGACGACATACTGTACGTAGCTATCCTATGTAATATCAATGTTGTCAAGTGTAACTTAGAAGATATACTGTTAGAGAAATAATGACTACACAAGACCTTGGTAAGAGTTTCCTGGTTGTTGATATGTACAGTGAGTATTGTATGTTTATCTGTTCCCTGAGTAGAGCCTTCCCTTGAGCTTTTTGTATTGATGGCAGGGTGGCATCTTAATACGTTCAAAGAGGTATGAGCATTATATTTTGAAAATAAGGCCCAGTACCATCATTGCTAACCAGGAACAACCAGAAAACTACTGGTTGGAGTTGTTTTTGATAGAGAAATGTAACTAAAAGCAACTATTCTGCTAATGGTTGCATTAATTATCTGAGGGTTTGTTTGAACTGAGTCCTCGGCCAGCGTTGTGCATTGATGTTGCATGTTTGACAAAAACAGAAGAGTAGCATATAGTAGGTATATATGCAATTGCACCCATCCAATTATTAGGACACACTGACGCTTTATGCACTCCCCAAACTGAAAGCATATTTGCCTTAACAGGGAATTGAAGTGGGATTATGTATATCAGGTATTTATGGCAAAATCTACCTTTTTAAGTCCATCCTTACATGTTACATTTGGTGTACTGTATAAAAGATCATTATCAGGGTTACTGTACGTCATCAAGCTTTATCTTGGGATATTTCATCCAGTGGCGCACATACATTCTCCATGGAAACGAGCAGGTTTTGGAGATGTAAGCAGATTGTTGGGTGTATGTACTGTACAGTTATGAGTGCGTTTGTGTGTTCGAGCATCCCTGCTGCTGCTGCTGCTGCTGCTGGTATTTAGGAGTGCTCACTTCAGAACCCTGGTTATATTTATGTGCTATGAAGCCGTAAACGTTGTTATATTATACACATTTTTCCGTTAACCTCCAGAAGTGAGGTTTTGCCTCATGAGTCATCCGTTACACTCTACAGTTGTTGTCATTCAGTAAAAAAATGTCCCACATGACCTCCAGAGGAAATTATAATGGCTTCTTTGTCACACTGCTTTGTATATGGGTGTCTGTTTATGATAAATAATAATAATCTGGTTTGCCTTGTGCTGAAATATCCCAAGATCAACAGTCACGTTTCATATTTTGTGTTATATTTGCTTGTTTTCTGCATTCAGCTTGCTCACCAGCAGATAAGGAGTGGGATGCTTGTATATTGTGTCTGACTATTCTTGTGTTAAGTGAGATTGTAGCCTTGGCTGTTTTGTGGGTGCTACATTATAAAGTTATTGAACCTGCTGATAGTGTGTGGTACTGCCAAAGCTTTAAAGTAATAGCTGTAATGCAGAGTTTTAATGCAGAGGGTAAAAGGTGTTTTTTTTGTTTAACTTCCCGCAGGATTGCAAACACTGGAGCAGTTCTCAAGCAGAGCAGAAACTTTTTCTGTCCTATTCTGGCTGTGTTAGGCTAAAGGAACAGTCATCCTCAACATTCCCGATAGAGACCACAATGCTAGAGTATCTGGTTTTTATATGCAAAAGCTGGCAGTTAACATTTGATCCTGTATTTGCTGGGTGAGATTTTTCTCTTTTCCTTTCATTTTCACACCAAGTGCTTTTGCAACCACCTCCTCATTTGTCGTCAGTGGTTGTCCTCTCCTCCCATTAGGACCATGACAAGTTATCATGTGACTCGAGGTCTTAAAGCATTTGATTTGCACTGTCTAAGCACATTTTCCAGCATTAGCACCATTTCATCTTAATGTCTGTGGTCATGTCTTTCCTCCTTACCAACTGACTGTTGTCATTGTTTTCCACGGTGTACTGAGATTGTATTGTATATTAAAGTATCCTATTTATTCTTATCCTCTTTGGGGCGTGTTACTTGATAACAAAGTGCACTGTACACTTTTTGTCTAGGAAGATATTCCATTGGAATAAAAAATATGAGTGTACAAGTCTTGCATGAGGTTTATTGTCAAATCCATTAACAGGAAGTCTCCATGCCAGCATATTAAACAGTTTGCTCTTTATATGCTGGTTAGCTGAATGTAAACTGGCTCAAGAAGAAAAAGCATTACAAGAAATATTATCTGCAACTTAGTTTGGTAAAAAAAAAAAAAAAAAGGAAAAGTTGAACACAATGTGAACTATGACATATGAAAAACATCTTTATTACAAACTTTTATTACGTATCAAAAAGAAAAACAAAGGCCATCTGTTTTCTATCTCTGTGATCATGGCTCGTTGCCGTTGACACACTTGTGCTGCTCCATCCGGCTCGTCCGCAGCATCTCGATGTGTTTGGCTCTCAGCCAGCTGTCTCTGGACAGAGAGGTCTGTCCCAGGCTCAGAGACAGCAACCTGCAGACACAGTCACAGTCAGCCTCTCGAAATACTGTGATAACATTTTAGTTTCCTAAGACACTCTTTGAGACAAACACTGAAGTTTAAGTATTTAACGACTTTTTTATTTTGGTTGCATTGACCCATGAAGTGATAATCACCCTGCTTATGTCATATCTGGCATTTCAGTAGTTGGTCATAATGGCTCGTTGTGTTTGTTTAACACTTTGCCTTTTAAAGAAGGCTTTACAGGCTGTTGTTGTTATTCTCACCAGATATGAAAGAAAGAAATGCCAAGTAAAGGAGCTTATATAAACTTAATCACAGCCCACCTCGCCACAATGAGCATCCTGTGGAGGTCCTCGGCAGTTATGCTCTGGGGGTCATCCTTCCTCATGTCTACAAAGTCATCCTCAACTGACTGAGGACAACAGAAAAGGACAAGCAGTTAAAAGACACTCTACAGATTCCGTTCTGGGCTACTGTAGTAACAACATGGCTGACTGCAGATATCAACGGCTCATTCTAAAGACACGAGAAAAAAAAAAAGATTCTTGTTTGAGGTGATGATAAACTCATAAAGGAATAGTTATCAGTATTATATTCCATTTCTGCCAATATATCACCCTAAATCCTCCACACTGGACCTTTAACTGGTGCTGAACAATTAACTGGATTGTTTTCACTACATGATGCATTGATTTGATTGATTTATTTTAATGTGAAATGTAAAAACACCCACAAAGTTGCTCTGCTAACCATATTAAACAGATTGTACTTGTATTTTTAGAGTTGTATGTATTTTTACCGGTTAGAGGGCTTTGTAGCCATGTGTAGAGGAAAAAAAAAAGATCAGCTGGGTAAAAATAGAGATGAGCAGCACAATGGCTGCATGGCTTCTGTGGTCAGTGTAGCTGTTTAAGTTCATTATAATGGACGCTCTCTGCAGGGGTATGCTGCGCCGCATCTGTGCTCCATGTATTTCGGCCGTTATGCACACAGATGATAACAGTCTGGTCATTAAACAGATACACACGGGGCTGCTGAGTACACGGATGAACAACTAATCTGCAAGCAACTAGTTCCAAGTTATACTGATGTCATTTTGTGCTCTTTCCCCAGATGGTTGTTGCCCCCTTGTCACTTATTCATTAATGTGCAACTCATCTCAGGCTAAAGATGACAGCATGTCTCACCTTTGTCACTTCATCAGAGATGCTGTAGTCTAGCAGCCGAGCCACGCTCAGGTACATTCTGAACTTGTTCAGCTGTGACGAGGCCTGTGGATGCATGTGGATGCTGCTGAGATACTCCTCCATGTGGGGTGGGGTGACCTGACACTGTAGGTGGACCTGGCAGTCTGACTGTGAAGTTACAGAGAAAGAGAAATATTGACACTGTGCTGGAGAAGAACTTTGTACAAAGACAAGCTATATGCATCTCTAGTTTTTGTGGTGTTGCTATGCAAAAGTAAGGTCTGCCTGTGGTGTGTGCGCCTAGTTTGGCACATCTTCAGAACTTAATAGCATGCCAGACAGGAGCAAAGCCTTGGTGAGCTGACCGTGAAGCACTTGATCAGCCTGCCCCTACAGCTGCTCATCAGCCGATAATTGTTCAATGTAAACACAGCCACGCACTCCTGACTTCTAACCAACCCTGGGAGTTGTTTACAGCAGGCTGCCCTTCACTGCAGGACTAATAGATGGCCGAGCCTGACGCCTCTCCCAGAATTGTTCCTGTGGCACACAGCTGCCGCCATGGCAACCTATTAGACCAACACACAGGAATAGCACACAGCACATTCCTCGGGCTGTTCGCAACCGACTGAGACCCGAGCTAAAGCTGCCGACTGGAGAGGTGGCTGCAGCCAACCAATGGCAGCTGAGATGACAGCGTGACGCCGGCTGGAAACAACCTCCAGCGTCAGACATGGCTTGTCTCATGAGAGGCTGAAGGAAACCTAACCCCTCCCCGGCATGGCCTGGGAGGGTGGGGGGGTGTTG